GTTTTTAAGTCTTTTTTTCCTAAGTCCTTACAAGCATCACTGTAGCGGTTCCTTTCACAGACACTCACTGGGTATGAAATGGGGAGGCTCCGATAACTGCAGTGGAAAATGTTCACTTTATGAACAGTTATTTTGAGGACTCATTATGTGCAAAGCAACCCCTGGATGAGACCACTTGTGAGAACATAAAGGAACATAAAAGGATCCAGAACCAACTTTGATTAAGATCCTCAAATCAACATGTTCTCCAGGGTTGTGGTCTCAGGTGAGACTTAGTCCTCTTCTAAGCTCACTGGCCACCTGCTTCTTCTTAGCCAGAAGTGGAACCTCTATGGGAAGCCCAGTTCCTCTTGTAGTTCTTCTGATTAGGTTACCTTCACCCTCCCTTCCTCCCCACTGTGTAATTGTCCTTGTTATTTATGCAAAATCAACTGATGAGTAATCTGATCATAGGAGTGACATTGGCTGACCTCTGTCAGCCACATGCCTGGGCCAGGGATGGGCGCGTGACACAGGCCAATTAGTGTCCTCACTGGGAGGAAGGTCTCTTCTCTCACTGTAAGGCTCGATCCAGTTGTCTCAGGACTTCTGGCCTGAGAAGAAAGTTTTAATATAGAGAGGAAATAAATGTTACTTTTGAATGGACGAAAAGCCCGGTGCAAACTCCTGATCATACCAGGGCTGACCTCCTCACAAGTAGCTGCCTGCAAGGTCAGGATTATGTGCTGGATAAGAAGGTATAACTGGGGAAGAGACCTGGAGTAGGCATGGATCACTTGGTCATGCATTTGGAAGGATTCATAGACCTAACCCCAAGGGTATGAAAAAAAGTGGGGAGGTACCAGAAGTAGGAGGAAAGTAGGCAGGGAAGGACCCTAACCTGTTGTCACTACAGATAAAGTCCATTTATTCTGTTTTTAAGATTTATTTATTTATGCATACAAGAACTGGGGTATAGGCCAGAGGTGTGGAGGGGTGAGAGGATTCACCAGAGACAGAATGGGGAAGAGAACAGACGGATAAACTGAAATACACTGGTGAGGGGAGCAGCAGGCGAGGCAGAAGAGGTCTGCTGTGCCATGTGGGTTGCTCCCTGGCGGGCCGGGGATTGAACTTGTGCTGCAGTGGCTTAGGACAGCTTCATAGGTTGTGTTTTAACCCCTTGCGCCACCAGGGAGGCCCAGATAAAGCCCATTTAACCTCTGTGCTGCTGTGAAAGATAAGAGGATGGAGGCAAATTTCCTTGTAGGGAGAACACGGTCACTGTATCAAGCAGTTCTTGAAATTCTGCGGTAAACAAAGACCAAGGTCCTACTTTCCTGACCTGGGCAAGGAGCTGCCTCAGCCCATCACAGCAAGCCTCTGAGCTTCTTCCTCCAACTCCTAAGTTTGACTAGAACTGCCCTGTCTTTCCATAGTCGGAGACTATTCCACTGGCCAATTAGCACTCTCTGGAAAGTAACATATTTCTTGTATCTGGGAAAAAACATTAAACCACTTGTTTTATCAAGGCACCATTATTTAAAAATATTTATCAAGCACTTGTGATGTGGCATATACTATGCTGAGTGCTGATGCAGTGGCTCTGAGAGGCTATTCCATTCCTGTTATCAAATACAGCTCTAGATAACAAAGAAAAAGACTGACGAAAGACAACAAAAACACTTCCCTGAAAAATATGGCGGATGCTTGAAGGCAGAGGGGGACAAGGGGGGAGGGAATGGAGGGTGTAACGTGATGGGTCGTGGCCCTGGAGTGTTGGTGGTGGGTGAGTAAAGTACAAGCACATGTTGAGGTGTGAAGCTGTATCCCCAAAATTTAGTTTTGTAAGTGAATCGAATTGTTAATCATTAACTAGGGTTGTTTGGTGCTGGGAAGTTAAAGGAACAGGGCCCAGGATAATGGAACAGGCTCCTCTGAACCAGCAACTCCCAGTAAAAAAGTATCAGGCTTTTCAGCCCTCCCGCTCTTAGGATTGATGATGGATCCCTGCGGTCCTGAACGCATGCCTGAGTGCTGACTCCTGCAGTAGGATGTGGGATATGTAGATGGGATTCACCTGGGCTGAGAGACTGGGCTTATAGGAGTGGTGTCCCAGGGACGCCAAGAGAGCGAAAAGCACGAAAGAGAGCTTCCAGTGGAAACACAGAGGGAAAGGAGCAGAGAAGTAGAGACCCTGAAAGAAGGCCAGAGAGCCCAGAAAGTATGAAGGCTTGCTGGGGGCTGGGAGACCTACTAGCCTCCCGGCCCCCCCGAGCACTCCTGAATGCCGTGCCTGGTAAATCCCAAAAAAAGCCTGAGAAAGCCACCGAGGGCTCCAGGACTCTCCTTTACCCGTCTGCTCCAAACATAGATAACCTGCTCTGTGCCCTTCCTGGCACTACACACTGGAGGATGAAAGAAATTACTGAGTGAGGTCAAGATATACAGCATTCCACCCATGGTCATCTAGCAGGCCTTTGGCTGTGTAACACTTGTCTGGTGAGCTGCCATTCGTATTCTAAGGGGCATTAAACTGGTTCTGAGGCTTTTGCTCCCTTCAGGGTGCTGGTCAGAAAGTCTGAGGTGTTCCTGAAGTTTCTCAAGGGGTGAAAAGCACTGGTATCCATCCAGTATCTAGCCTGTCAGGAGAAGTGCATAAACTGCAATCCTTGCACAGCTCTGCCAAGATCAGCCTCAGGCCCCAGGGTTCACAGCTGGGTGGCAATAAATGCTGAGTCATTTCTCCAGGGAGTTCTAGGTAGAAAGTGGTGTGCCTGATGGCAGCCAGGTGTTTTCAACAGCAAGTCAGCTGGCTCCCTGAGCGTGAAAACTGCATCAGCCACTAGGGAAAGAGGAGCCACACCTGAGGACTGAGAAAATTAGGCTCCAGGTACATTTCTGAGGGGTGTGTGCTGTCTGCACTGTTAATTGGGCAATTTGGGACTAAGAAACCCCATGTATTCTCAACGCTCTGCTTCTTCAAGGCTTCCCAATAGCCTCCCTGATGGCGTAGGGGTTAAGTCTCAGCACTACCACCAAGAGTTGGATCCGCGGCCAGGGAGGTGACCCACATGGCGCAGCAGACCTCTCCTGACTCTCCGCTGCTCCCCTCAGCAGTGTAATTCAGTAGATCCATCTGTTCTGCTCCCCACTCTGTCTCTGGTGAATCCTCTCAGCACCACATGTCTGGCCTACACCCCAGTTTTTCTACACAAAAATACATATTTTTTTTAAAAAAAGACTTCACGAGTCTCACACCAAATCTGAGGAGAATGTGGCAGGAGGCATGTGTGCAAGCGCCTCTGGTGATAGGAAGATTAAACGGCTCCTGTCTTTGAAGGCTCAGTCTCTAGTGAAGGACGGTTTGGGTTTTTTCTTTTTTTTGTTTTATTCAGACCCTCAACAGATTGGACTGTGTGCACCTATATTGTGGAGGACAGTCTGTTTTACTGTCTATTGCTTGCTTGCTCTCCCTCCCTCCCACCGCTCTCTCCCCCAGTCTCCTGTCTCTGTCTCTCTGCTCTCTCTCTCCCACCTCTGTCTCTCAACCTCTTTTTCTCTCTCCAACCTGTTTCTCTCCTCTTTCCATCTCTCTCCAACCTCTCTCTCTTCTCTTCTGTCTCCTCTACCCATCCCTCTCCTGTCTCCTCTGTCTCTCTCCTGTCTCTTCTCTCTTCTCTGTCTCTTCTCTCCTGTCTCTCCTCTGTCTTTCTCCTCTATCTTCTCCACCCTCCTTTCTCTAATTTTCTTACAATATTTGATTTCCCCCTCAGGTGTAGTCCCCATAATTCTCCTACCACCATAGCAGGGCAATTCTGTGGCCTTGATGAAAATGGCGAGGGGCGTAATGCTAATTTGACCTGACTTGAAATTCTCACCTCTTCCAAAGGTTTAGACAGGTAATTAGGAGCTCAACACACTTTACACGCACTTTAACATGGTTTCCACCTCAAGAGTTTTAATAAAATCACCTTCAAGGCTTTTTCTTGTCTCTTTTAGCTGAGAGTAATCACCGCAGGATAAAATCATTTACAATTTAACCCCAAGACATATCATTACTTCAACTTCCCTGGTTCTTGTCGACTGAATAAAAACTTTCAATTCAGTTTTACTGTGAGTCTCTCCAGGGAGGAAGAAATGGGTTAGGTTTATGGGCCATTCAAAACTAGTTTTTATAGAGCTCTTGGAAAGAACTTGAGTTTGTAAGCTAACATTTTAGTGTGATATCGGATATTGTACATTAAAAAACATTATTCACACCTCTCTGTTTTCTTACCCCAAATAATGACATCATTCCTCTTTCTGACCTTTTCTAAGTTCCTGTGTTGATGGCGCTACATTTAGCTCAAGAATTCATTGTCTGGGACTCACATATTGTGATCTCCCTACGGACAGACCATATGCATGAGTTGTTACAGCATTTCAAGACTAACATGTGTGTCATAATTAATATAAAATTGGCCTGTAGTTTCTTCCAGTTAAGTCCAGGGCCATTTATATTTCATAGCCACTTATATTTCAGTTTAGTCTGCATAATCCTAAATTAACTATGACTACAGACTTAATTTCTCTTGTTTATGAAATTCTATTCAAGATTATTTCATACTTTAAAATTACAAGGTGTTGCTGAATCAATGACTTTACTTCCAAATTCATAAGCTTGAAATGAAAATGTTGCTACATTCCTAGAATGTCCAAAAATGTTATCTTCAAAAGGAAAAAAAAATTAAAATTAGTATTTTAAGGCTCAGTATGTGTTTTATAATATTGTATTCCTATCATTTGGTTATTTCTGTGCTAACTTCTCACTTCTCGGGCAATTAGAATATAGATAATGGAACACATGAAAGGTTCTAGCAATGGTATAGCTATGCATTGCAGTATTTATAACTTAGTCATAACTTTCTGATCTCTTCATAACCAATGTAATTCTTTGGGGATAGAACTGAAAGTGCAATAATAAAGCAGATGCCACTTTTCCTATGTGCTTAAAACAAGAAAAAACAAACAAAAAATAATGTCCATAATCTGTCAGTATTAAGTTGTAAGAAAATATATTTATTTTTTTCCATGACAATACTATGATAAAATTGTTAAATACATGCATGTTTTAAAAACAGACATAGTAACATCTTTAGAGTTAACAGCCAAGCATACTAGTTTTACATTTAAGGTGGCTTAGTAATAGGTTACTTATATTCTATGTTCTTGCTACAACCATGTTTTCCAAAAGATTCGGAAACTAAAAATTCTGAAATTATACCAGGATATAAAATGTTCAAATTTTCCATTCTAATACCAACATAATCTCCCAATTTTCAAAAGGCATAAAATAGCTCAGTTGTTATCTCTGTGCATGGAGTTATTTTATTCCATTCAAAACTCGGAATTCTGTGAATCAGACTGAAACACACAAACGTACTGCAATCTATAGTTTGCTTTCTGTATACGTAGATTTAATGTTTCTTTATATGATTAAGCATGATTTTAGGAACAGAATATCACAACTGATCATTCAGGTTAAAAAAATAGTCTGTAGTGGTAAACATTTCAAGAAACGAGAAAGGGAAGTTTTGGATTTGCAGTTTCTCCCTATCTTTCAGCAATATTTGCACACACCTGACGAAACAAAAATTAGTAAACAACTACTAGTATTTATAAAATGAAAATATTTAACATATAATATCCCCTTTTAAAAAACACTCATTCTACAAACAACCTTATAAAGGACAAAGACTTGTATCTGTTCACAGTATGTGTGTTTTGTAAACAGTAATTCGTTATAATGTAATTTTGAAAATAAAAACTATGGTGACTTCTGAAGAATTATTAAGGACATCTGATTTATGGCCAGCTGATGAAGGAGAAGAAAAGGGAAGACATTCCCACTATGAAAGTTGCAAATTTTCAATGGTTTTACCTTTGAACATACCTTTAAGGTAGTATCATCTGAAATTTAAGATATTTCTCTTTCTATTAAGGTCAATCTCTTTCAAGCAATTCTGAATTGAAATGCATTTAAGAAAAAGCTGTTCTCCTTTTTGAGAAAGTAGTAAGATAAAACCCCAGGGTATCATATAATACCTACACTTTCACAACAATGACCTGAATAATAGTGTGTTGTTTGTGTAGTGTTCAACTATCCATAACATATTCACATTTTTCCTAATCATTATGTCAGAAGGAAAAAATTAAATAGCAGGGCATATCATAAATAATGGGAAAGGTATTTGTAATCAAACCCAGGGAAGAATATTTGAAAAAAAATTATGAAAATCATTATTAGTATTGTCTTCTAAAATCAAATGCAAAAATACTAATACCAATGTTAAATATAATAGTTAACTTGTTTATTTTTAAATGATTATGGTATTACCATCTACAATCTCTGGATCTTTTATAATTCATCTCTGGAATGATTCAGAAATTGAAAGATATCTATTTAAAATGGAATCATCCTAAGGGAAGTACATTTTAAATACAGAAAGAAATTCAATATATTCGAGTGAGCCATTCAGTTGGGTGTACAGAGTATTCTGGGTTTAAGTGCAGCAAAAAGATCTATGTTATTGATCTTTGAAAAAAATTTTAAGCTCTGATTGGCTACTGCAAAGGCAAGCTTAGAAGATATAAGTAAAGGCAATAAAAGTAAATTTCCTTATCAATTAAACAGTCATGATTTTCCCATTCACTTATTTTTGTTTTTAGGGTATTCAAGTTATACCCACTAAAAAGAAATTAAGTAATTACTGCTTTGCATTTGGATAATATTAGATCAGTTACAGTTTACCCACTTAAGAGCTTCTGAACTTATTGTTTCTATGGTTCTTCAGCTAGGCACTTGAACATCAAAACAGAGTTTCCCTGTTAAAACACTACTTTTAATTTTCATAAAAATGTTGCACAATTAGGAGTTGTCTTGCACAGGTAAATTCTGTTATAACTTGGACATTTATAATCCAAAATATTAACATTCTTGATATGGGGAGAAATAAGTGCTACTCTCAGAGTCCTGATGTAACTCAATGTCATAATCACAAGGTTTTGGCTATAGTTAGATCAAATCACTACATTCCCAGGAATTCTATCATATACAATAAAGTTTTACATATAAATTAATTGAATATTATTAATCCTCTATACTGGTAATAAAAATAATTCTCCAGTATTATAATTAGCATGAATATGATCATGTAATAGTTAAGAAAAACACACTAATTGAAAAGGAATACAAATTTTACTACCCTGGTGAAATAGGTTTAACTATTCTTAATAGCCTTGATTCACAATCCATGACAATAAATTGATCAAATGCAAACCAAGTAATTTCCAGTGATAGCCTATGGTCATGTCTAAAAGATGTATTTCCATTAAGTTGACATAAATCATTTTCTTTTGTGAAAAATTTTCTTCTGGATGCAAAAGACGGGCACTTTGTTTCAGTAGGAAATACCAGTTTAAAATAAATGCTTAAGAAATAGTTTATCAAAAGAACAATTGCTTATATTAATCAATTAAGCTCACATCAATTTACTGTTTGTTTGCTAGAACACAGACTACTTGGTACAAACACGTCCTAAGCTGTGTGCCTACCATATACAAAAGAACAATGAAAACTCAAAATTAGGGAGAAATAAGGTATCTAGTGCTGTTTTTGCATAAACTGGTCTCCCCAGTTTTCACTCCTAGTCCTCCAAAGAAGGCTTGAGTCTTCCAGTCAATAGTCTCAGACCTGCCCAATATTTGGGAAACAACCTTGAATTTGCATGCTTTGGGACAGAACTCAGTCAATAAAAAATTACTCAGTGAGCTTGCCTTAGTAATTCATTAATGATCTCACATTTTACTCTTGAGATACACAATTTTACTTTCAAAATTAAAAAAAAAATGGAATTTTATTTATACTAATGAGAAAACAGTAACAATTACTTTAGGGCAAATTAAAACAAAAAAGTTTTATCAAATGATATGCCTGAGCAGAAGAAAAATGTAACATTATATTTTCTGACTATTGACATGTCCTGGGAATACCTTCATTTCAATATACCATCAAAATGATTTCAAATTCCTTTTGGAAGAAAATATTCATTAATCTTCCATATAATAATCAGATTATCCAAATACAGAAAGAATTACAATGTTCTTTAAATATGGACGTAATGAGGACAATTAAGAAATTACAGGGCTAATCAACAAGAATACGAGTTGCATGAAGTTTTAAGAATGTGACTCTTACCACTGTTTCTGAGAGTGCGATGGTACTGGATGTTCCAAGTACAATCCTTCAGATTCCTGAACCGTGAAAATGATGCTGGCCTGGAAAATGAGGCTGTTATTTCCGCCCTTAACCTTTGCTGTGAATGGTTGCCTCTGGCTAAGCTGCAGGAATAAACCGCCTCTACAACTAAGCACACGAATACACACGTCAACTATCCAGATCCTCAGGGCTACAATCTCAAATCCAAGCATTGACAGCTTCCACACACAGATGTCAACTCATGCAATACCCGATGCACAAGGTCTATCTATGTCTAAGGCCCAGCTGTGACTTCTAACAATGTTCTATGAGTATTGTTTCCTTAAGATGGCCACTCAAAAGAAATTCAAGTGTAATGACCACCGTCATTTCCATTCCTCACAGGGAAGCTTGATTTCAGAGGGGCTTCTAAATAAGCGGACTTACAAGGGATGTGAAAATGTGTCCCTAAGGCAGTATTTGTCAACCAGTGTAATGTAACATAATTCTAGTTTATACACTTAGAATTTTCTAACCAATGGTTGGGCTTTAGTTAAGAGGGATTTCCCAATTATTTTCTCAGTCAGGAAGGGCTGGAGGGAACACATCACACATCAATCTCTTCCCCAGGGAGCAGAGCTAATCTGATTGGACAGAACAAGGCAACAGACCGCCTTTCCCATGTGGGCACGGTCCAGCTGACAACCTGCACATTCACCAGGGTCTCCAGCACCATAAACAGCAGGGTATGTGGCAGAGGGCATTTCTCTTGCCCTCCTCCCTCTCCCTCCCCTCTCCCAGTGTTGAGTGTTGCCCCTACCAGTCCAGGTGGGGCAAGGGTTGGGAGGTCATACCTTCTGATCTGTACAGTGGTCTGCCTGTCCTCCTCACATCAGTGGCGAAAGACAGGAGACCTGTTTTGGCTGCTGACTTAGACCACCTTCTTTTAAGCATGTTACATGGAGCTTGTCCAGACTAATAAAACATTCTGCTTCTAGTAATTCTGCTCTCATTAGATGATCTTTGTGGGTGGAAATCCAGAGGGTAGAGGGAGAGGTGAGTGCACACATCACCTTTTTCATGCAGGAAAAGTAGCCAAGTGTTGGACAGAGTGAAAGGACTCAGGACCCCCTGTAACGTTCACCATTAGCCAAACAAGCTGGTCACCAGAGAGGCTTGTGGGCACCAGAAGGGCACTGGAGCCAGGTGGTCCTTGATGAAGTACACATACACTGATCACAGAGATCAATCTTTTCTGGCCTTCTCCCGTGGTCTGAGGTTAGCGCTGTTTAGATTGACAAACTTTTAACTCAGCCAACACTTACTCTAAAGAGGTAAACTGGAGGAGAAGAGGTTCCAATAGGGAACGAGGGATGAGTTGAGCATGAAGGGATTACGGTGAGGATAGCTCCAGCAGAAGAGAAGGCAGCCCCGGGACTCAGTCAGGGGTGGAAGCTGAGGCAAGGAACCCAAGAGGAGAAGACAACAGGGCAAATTCTTTAAGGGATGGCTCTGTTTTGATATTTTTTTCACTGCTGAAGATCTCTGTGAGCTATTGTATAGTTTTAACATACTACATGTGTACATAATTAATTATATTTCATTCCACATGTCCACAGATCACAAAGCTGAGGAACTTAGCTGAACCCTAGAAGCTAAGGTAAGGATTCATAAACAGAGTACCTAAATAGATTTTGTCCCTTGTCACCCAGTGGATTTTTCCACAATGTGGTTTTCATAAAGATACATTATGAGTTAGGAAAAAAAAAAAAAACAACTGATGCATCATTTGCAAAGACATTACAGAACCTCAAATGATTAAAAAACAGGCATATCTTGACTTCTTGACTGACTCAGCTATTTCACAGTCTCGAGTCATTTTGTCTTAACTATCAAAAGTCAAAATGCACAGACAATCCAAGGGCAGGGAAAATATTAGAGTATTTTGTTTTCATTCTCCTTTTCCAAAGACCACCTTCATTCCAGATGTCACTTACGAAAGAGGAGGGGGGGAGGTCAGGGGTGGGGGAGGGTGTTGTGAGACAGATGCCCCCGGCAGCTCAGATGACTCCCACCTACACCATATACAGCGTGCCCGCCGCCAACCAGCATGTCACAGAAAACAGCCCTTGAGTAACTGCTCCTGTAAGAAGCATTATGTTTTTAGTTTTAGATTTAAAAAATTGAGGACTGGATCAAATAATCTGGACTGATAATCATTTAAGAGGTCAGAATCGCCAAGATGCAAGATCAAGAGAAAAGCTCGCTTTGGGGCGGGGTCAAAGATCTATGGCCCTGGCTTCTCGGAGGAAGGAAAGCCAACCAGAAGCATCTGGATAGCTAATGCCGCTGGCTATTGCTTAGTAGTCGTCTCAAATAGTAAATTACTGGAATTATATGCTTATGAATAACATTGAAAATGCTTAAGTGTCACAAAAAAAAACAAAACAGGTATTTTAAAAACTTAGAACAACAATATTAGATATTTAACTTTTAAATATTAAGGCAACCGACTGCAATACAGGAAGCGGGCATGAAAGCTGAAGTTAATGGGGAGGTTCAAAAAATCTACCAAAGCAAGAAAACACGATTCTAATTTGGGCTAGTCAGTGTCACACTCTTTTTCCAAGTTTGTACCCCTGAGACCACTATTTGGTAACCCATTATACAGTAGGCACAGAAATCAGCAAACTTTGCCAAACTAAACACTAAAGAGCTGTCACTACATTAAACCTTGCGTTCATTTCTTAAATGCTAAGGACAGAGGCGAACAATTCTCAAAGATTTAACACCTGTGCTTGGTTTTCATCTAGAATGGAGTAAATGTCAGGCAGATAGAGGTCATCTTGTTACTTCTGACATTTTTCTCCCTCGCCTTCAAATCCACTTGCAATTCCATAGCGTACATATGGGAAAACCGTTAACAACACAACAGAACGCAGTTGCCGCGGGATTTGTTTTCACGTGTGGGCTAGGCCGTGAGCCTAGAAATGCTTGTGGAAGGTAGGGTGGTGAGGACTCTTTGGCTCGAATCACAAATCTTGAGTTTTGTAGGATGAACTTCCAAGTTACTCAGCGGGGCTTTCAGACTACATTAAAAGCATATGAATACTTTTAGTGTAATCTGCACGTGGTGACATCCACCTCACCAGCAATACTTCACAGGATCCTCCAGGAGACCCAGCGCTGACACAGCAGCACTAGCAATGAGAGCTTATTGAGATGGCAGACTGAAGTGACAGGGGGGCACCATTAGTCATTTGGCTTGTTCTGAAAAAAGTTTGAAAAGGACCACCCACCGCCGTTAGATTTCGGAGAGTCTTCATCTCTAGGCGGGATCAAAAATTGCCGGGAGTTAATAGAGCATGGGCTCCCAAAAGACACGATCTCGCTGTTGCTGTCTGTGGACCTAGGGGAGTCTGGGGACACTAAGTGCCACATGTTTACATCTGCCTGAGGTCTGTAGCCTGCAGTTTTGTCTAGGTCATCTTCTGTGGTTAGATCTTCTACAGCAGAAGTCACGGGGAGGTGCATTTGGGGCTTATAGCCTGCTCCCCCTATAGGCTCATTTTCTTGTTCTTCCTCTGGTTTGGCCTGAGGCTGGTACATGGACTGGACATCAATGTAAATGACCTGAGAAGTGCCTGCAGCTTCATCCACTCCCGGATTGGTTATTTCCTCCTCAATGACAGGTGGACAGTAAGACACAACCACATGGTTTTCGGGTTCTGCCTCCGAGTTATCCTGTGGACGCTCCGCTATTGGGGAGATTATTTCTGTATCTTCTATTTTAGGAACTATTGATCGAGCTTCCAGGACCTCAACGTTATTTGGGGTACAAGGGTTCATTTCCAATGTTTTAAGAGCACTGTTTCCCTAGAAATAAATACAAGAATGGCAATTAAGGCTAGCAGTAATGGTTTCACATTTACATTTGCTTGTAAAAACCTCTCTTTGAGCCTCTGTAGCGCATATGAGAGCAAAGTCATTTCTACAGATCAATGTTTTCCTTGCTATTAATACCAGTGGAAAAAAGAGCCCAGTACAATTTACAATGAATAAATTGAGGAATTCAGCAAATGTTAAAAGCACTGCTATTTTTTCAGGATTCTTTACTCAGAATGACATTTGCATGTTAATAACTTTTCAGGAAAGACAGATAAAAGGAAGCCAATACTTCAAAGATATAGGAAAGAAAATAAAGGATTACCTCGCAGACACTCTTTTGAAACTGTAGTGCTTTACAATTTTCTGGATTTGGAATATCAGGGTAGAAGGTTTCCTTAATCCTTTAAATAAAGAACAATCAAATAAGTTTAATAACATAAGATTACCCATAAGGCAAGTAAGTTCGTAAATCATCGTGCTTATTTTGACATTTTGTAAGATGAACAAATATCTGAGATAAAAATGGAAGCGGAGTTTCAGTGTGCTCATTCACTACAGCTTTCTGTAGAATGCACATAAAAGTTCCCATATATAGAAAACTGTAAATAACACACGTACTTCTAGAACAACCTCTTATGTATTTTATGAAAATGGAAAGTGAAGAATTATAATGGTGATTGTGCTATTAAGTCAAAAGTAAAATACAGCCATTACTCAGCTAACCCAATATATATACTGCAAACTGGATTAAGTGTGACCCACTGCTTAGGGAACATGCTTGCATTATGCAGCTTTCCACTACTCATCCCAGGCTCTAGGCTATCAGAAAAAGGAAGGCTATTAATCTTGAGTGGAAAAAAAAGCAGACAAACACAAGAAGTCCTATCATCTTTACAGTTGTTGAAAAAAGAACTTACTGGTTGAAATTTCTGCAGGAAAAATAATGCTGTTAATGTCTGGAATTTCTCTTTACTTTGTCTTTTTGTAGTATTGAAGTAATTTTTAAAATGAGATTTCTGGTAATGAGAACATGGCTATTCCATAGCCCTAAACTATTATTTTGATTTATATGTAGGATCACTAACACACATTCTCTTCTTTAGTACAACTGATAACATTTTTAAAACCAGGGAGGACCATCTGTGTATGAACAAAGACATTTGCTTCAGTGCAGGACAGCTGCTGCCAGTTGATTGACCTGCTCAGCCCCTGCTTATCTCACCTCATCTCACCTCCACCCTCACCCTTCACCTCACCTTACCTGTCACTTCACCTCATCTCACCTCAGCTCACCCTTCACTTACTTTTCCTCACCTCATCTTCCGTCCTCGCTCTCCTGTTCTACTCAGACATGTAGATCTTACTTTCTCCAGAAGATCAAACTCTTTCCAATTTCTGGGCCCTCACAGATGCTATTCTCTCTGCCTGGAATATTCTTTCTCTTTCTCCTTACTCTTTGGGACACTTCTCGTAAGAAATTCACACCAGGAAGTGATATGGTGTCCCTGCTATTCTCTCATGGTACCCAGTGCCCTTCCTTGTACCCGCTCACACTCTACAAGCATGTATTTATTGGATGATTATGTATTAATTGGATGATTATGGGTTCAGTGTCCATCTTCCCCACAATACTGTAAGTCTGTTAGGACAAGGCTTATTTGTTCACCACTATGTTCCCTTCCACATAGGAGGGGTCATTTGTATTGTTGAATACTTGAGTAAATGACCAGATTTTTCTAACCAGATCACTAGGAAAAGTAGGCTCTTAATCATTAAATAACACTTAACTCTGCATATAGCTATTGTTGCCATCTTTATTCGTGTAAGTCCTTTTTTTTTTTTAGTACAAATGCTATCACTTTAAATTACTAGCCAAGACAATAGGGAAAATTACATTTTTACCCTACTAATTTGAAAACTTTAAATAATATACCATGTTCTTGCTTAATATTGAATCCAATATTAATTTGAACTAAAAACAATCATTTTTTACTAGCTTCAACCAAAAGTGATACCATTATTTTTTATTTATTTATTTTTTTTGCACACCACATAATGACTTTTTATTTCCCATGAATCCCTAATCAGGTTCCTTTGTTCACAACCAAGAAGTTAAAAAAAAAAAAAAAGATTTAGTTTGCAAATTTTCACTATATTGTTGGATAAAGTTGGGATTAAGGTGGACTAGAACTTTAAGATTACAGTTAATCAGTTTTTAAGATTTTTTTTTTCTTCTTCTTGTGATTTTGATATTTTTGCTGTTTTGTTTTGGCTAGTGCCTCCCGATGATTTTCTTTTGGCATGGACTTAATTCTCTTCCAGGAATAGAGGACTTTTGTTTGCCACACTTGACGGAACCTGGAGACTGGTTTTTGTTCTAAACTGGAACCCTGAGAAATTATCATCTGAGCCTGAATCCCAGCATATACACATCTGACCTTCAGCAACATAGAAATGGGGGCAAAAAATGAAAGGGGGAATATGTTGGGGAGAAAGGACGCCCTGAACAAACTCCACAAACTCCACTACACAGGTTTATGTGGACTCCTCCCCCCTACTCCAGACTAAACACCGGGAACTACAAATCCCATAATGCAAACTTCATGGAAGGAAGGATTGGAGGGAACTGAGGGTGGAGTTAAACAGGCCCGGTATATAACCTGATAGGTGGCCCTTGGGGGTTCGCTTGGCATTTCGCCAGCTCTCTGTATGCTGTGTGGGCCCTGTGTGCCATGAGGGATTCCAGCTCGATGGAGCTAGTAGGATGCATTCACCAATTTATCTCCCTCTCCTTGAGTTCTTCATTCCCCCTTCTTTTGTAAATAAACCATTTATGAACTTTTCTGTGTGCCTGTCTGCAGTTCAGTCTTAAGTTCTCCGGTGAGGACCCACAGTCAGGCAACCCATTTTATATCAGCGTTACCCTGTAACATGAATCACAGGGAGGACACAAAAGGGGGAGAGTGATGGAACTCATCACTTCATTGAGAACTCACTCAGTATGTTTTATGATTTGTATGGGAATATTAAGGCTGAGTTAAAGAACAAAACAGTCAGTATAGGGAAAGAGCATAATGGTGTAGTTGATCTGCCAAAAACTCAAGGTACTACGGGGTAATAAATGCTTTAACATACGGAGGGTGTTTAGTGGCATGGTTGTTCATCGACTGATATTCACATTGCACTCGGGAGTATCATAGGTGTTAGATTTTTGCTAGGAAGAGCGGGGCGGGGCAGGAGGGGGCAGGGGAGGGGAGGAGGGGGGGGCAGGGGAGGGGAGGAGGGGGCAGGGGAGGGGAGGAGGGGGGGGCAGGGAGGAGGGGGGGCAGGGGAGGGGAGGAGGGGGGCAGGGGAGGGAGGGCAGGAGGGGAGGGGAGGAGGGGGGGGCAGGGGAGGGCAGGGGAGATCTGAAGCACAGAGCATAGTGGAGCAGCAGGCACAGAACGAAGAGACCATCTGCTGCACCACATGCGCTCTAGCTCCAGGCCCCCTGACGGGGCTAACTCCCACAGCTCCCACGCTCCTTGCGGGTAGCTCCCTGGCCGGGGCTTGAACTCAGGCCACAGCGGTGAGAGCGCTGAGACTAACCCCTAGGCCATCCTGGCGGCCCCGCCAGAGGCTGAGTTAAATGGAGCCTTTAACCTTTATTAGGAGGCTTCAGGAGAACTACTGACAGCTGCTCCTCCAGCAAGTCAGAAGAGACTGCGGCTGCCCTGCCCTTCCCTCAGCGATCATCACTGTCTCCTCCTCAGGCCCGTGGGTGCTGAGGGAAGATGGCTTTCAGCGGCACCTCCACGTCTTCATCGGTGACAAGAGGGGGCAAAGTATGGGGATTTTTCAATTCTAAAACAAGTATTTTTCATTGATGAATCAGAAGAAAAACCTACACAGTTCAGAAAGTAATCAGGATTGTACTGATCCTGAAAGATTTCTTTGGTGATGATCATGTGTATAAATCAATATTTAGAAGTTTCTAGAGAGTTAAGTCTGCAGACTTCTGATGTCCTCATAGAATAATGAATGCTCTTAGTGAGCTGAAGAGACTCAAAAAAAACAAAGTAAATAATCCAGTCACAAAATGGGCAGAAGAGCTAAAAAGAAACTTCTCCAAAGAGGAAATGCAAAGGGCCACCAGGCATATGAAAAAATGTTCAACATCACTTGCAATCAGGGAAATGCAAATCAAAACTACCATGAGATACCATCTCACACCAGTGAGAATGGCACATATTAAAAAAACTAGCAACAACAAATGTTGGCGAGGATGTGGAGAGAAAGGAACTCTCCTGCACTGCTGGTGGGAGTGCAAACTGGTCCAACCACGATGGAGAGCTGTGTGGAGATTTCTGGACCTGCTAAAGACAGAGCTTCCGTAGGATCCAGCGATTCCACTACTAGGTATTTACCCAAAGGACACAGAAACATCAATTCCAAAGAGCACCTGCACCCCTATGTTTACAGCAGCACTGTTTACAATAGCGAAGCTTTGGAAAGAACCCAAATGCCCAAAAATAGATGCCTGGATCAAGAAGAGGTGGTGCATATACACCATGGAATATTACTCAGCATTCAAAAAAGATAAACACATGCAATTTGCAGCAACATGGATGGCGCTGGAAGGGATCATGCTCAGCGAAATAAGCCAGAAAGAAGACGAAAAACACTGGATGGTCTCACTCATAGCAGGAATTTAGAAACATCTTGGAAGGTGCAGTGATTTATCTCTCCATATCCTCCAGATATTTCTTAGGTCGTAAGTGTCTTCTAGTACCACCGTCTCTTCTCCCATCAGTATACATTCTGTTTGCCTTCCTTGCTCCTAGAAGCTGCCCAAGGACATATGACAATATTCTAAGATCTTTCCAGGCCCTCCATGGATGGCAGTGGTTTCATATCACGCTCAAAAAATCTCCTGAGGTTGTGACCTCAGGGCGCCGCAGCGCTCCGGACCGATACCATTATTTCTTAACACATAAAGTTAATAATCAAGCCTTTAAGAACAAAGCAGGAAGGGCAAACGCAGGTACCATTACCATTCTCGCTTCCGATAGCAAAGGATACTTGTAACCACCCCAACAAGTACAGCCACAGCCACTGGGATGAGAATGGCGATAATTAGTCCCACAGCTGAAAAGAGAGTAGTGCAAATATTAAAATCATCATTTTTAGTGCACAGTATAGAACAAGATTATATTAGAAGATTTTTAAATTGGTAGATTATTTGAAGAAAAGTTAATCCTAACTATTCCAGGAACATGAAAAATTATTTAAATAGAACCTTAAAAGTCTTGCAATAATTGTTATACTAATATATCAATTCTTTAGAACAAGGTTTCTCTATCTTGGCGCTATTGACATTTTAGGCCAGATATTTCTTCACTGTTTATGTCGGGGGCAGAATTCAGCACATCCTTTAGCCTCCAACCACTATCTAGTGATGACAACCAGAAATATCACCAACATTGCCAGGGGCCTCTGAGGGGGTAAAGGTGCCCACAAGGGCCACAGTCTCATGACTGTTAGGAGAGCTGTGCATGTTCTCACTCTGGGGCAGAGAACAAGCCAGGGTCAATTTGAAGTCAGGTTCCTCACACCTCCCCCATTTCTGTTTTCTAGCTCAACGTATTTAGTGCATTTCACACATTCTTAAAGGATATTTCTTTCACTGTTTCCTGGCTATGTGAAAAATCACAGAGCAATGATGACAAAAAAATTTATAGGTTGACCATTATAGAACCAAAACATGAATCTAGAACTCCAGACTCATGTGCCCTTAATTCATTAAATGCTTAGGTATCCAAATAGGAAATGGCTTCTAATAACCGGTGAGGATTAACACAAAGTTATTTCATGGCCTCTGAACACCGTTTCTACCTACTATAAAAATGCATCAGAATATGAAATTTTAGAAAAGGGGGCTGCTACATAACCAAAAATCGCGAAAAGCACTATGCGCTGAACTACCACACTACGCAGTATTTAGCTCACAGTTTTCCTTTGTCACCACAAACATGCTCTTCTCCGGACCCATTCCACCACCCGTGTAGGCTTGCAAGACCAGGTGGTAACTTGTTTTCCCCTGCAGATCAGCAATTCTCAGTGTCTTCTGGGATACATCAGTAATATTCTTGACCTTTATGTCAGAACGACCTATTTTTAAAGTAAAGAATATTATTACTGATCCTGGCACCATTTTAAACACATGGCTGTGCACACCTGTCATGCCCACATCCCAGGAAATTGAGTCTGGCTGCTGGTCTGGGAGCAGCCAGAGCCACGTACAAGTTCCACCTATGTCAGTGAGTGGCTTGTGATCTGGGTCTGTTATTCCAGCCCCTCTACCTGTGAAACTGCTATGTCACAGCTTAACTCAAAGGGCTAAGGAATGTTGCAGAGACATTCTCTAAGATAATTCTGCACAGCAAGCAGAGAATCAATAAAGGTCACTTCTCTTTACTTAAAAGCACACACAAACACACACACATGCACACACACAAAGCCCACCATAATTAAACCCACTGCAGGGGGCTTGGGGGCAGGGGTTACTGTCACTGAGGCTGGTTGGCCTATGAGTTGGGTGGGACTCAGGCATCAAGCATAGAGATGACTCCAAGCCATCTGCGTAAAAGGCAGTGCACCTGAGTTCTCAAATGAGATGTCAGTGAGGAAGCCTCTGAATCACTTTAGACAGAAATGTGAAGAACTGTTTCAACCATTGCTTTTAAAACTTTAACCAAAATAATAGTTTAAGAAATAAATCATACTAAATGGCTAATAGCAAAAAGTAACAGTTCCCTACCACACTTTCCTCCCACCACTTACAACTACTTTAAAATCATGCTATCAGTTTCTTTGAGTACTGACTTTCATACTTCAAAGTGAACTTAGATCGGCAGTGATTGCTTTTTAAATTTCAGACATCATCAGCTCATGTCCTGTGAGGGTCAAGACTTAGCTCTCTCACACAGCTGCTTCTCCTCCCCCACCTCTCCCCTCAATCACCTCCTCCCATTATTCATATTGAAGCATCAAAACATTTGGTAAACTCAGTGTTTGCATGACTGTGATCATATCAATAATGGACTACTGCCGAGTGGCACGGGCCATGCTACTCATGCTATCTGACAAGGTCTGGGCATGAGGCAAGTTTCTGAAAAGTCAGAAAACTCCACAGCTGGCTCCTGCTACTTCCTTTCATTTGTTTGTGGCAGTTATTGAAGCCATGGAAATTTTCTATAAGCTTTAGAATAACAGAATGAGCGTTGGCATCAATGCCAGTTTCAGTAATGCATACCTCAGTAGTTTGAGAAAAGTACCTTCCAACATGATTGATAATGAAACGGTTTCCAATATTTCTCCACGTCCTCCGATTTGTAATTCAGTTACCATGAGTAACATTGAGTTCTCTAACAAACCAAGCTTGATAGAACTGATGGAACTGAGCCCAGTAAAAGTCCCCACTAGAGAAGGCCCTGAGGCGCCCTGGGAAGCGAAATGGTCTGAGAGAAACACACCACATATTGTTCCCATGGTACCGGGACCCTTTGCTTCTATATAGAAAATAGGAAGCCGCCCTCGATTTTACAATGCCTGCTTAGCCCTGTTTCACAGTTACCTAGCTTGACTGCATAAATCACCTTGCGTATAGCACCTGTTTCTATTTTCTGACTAACATATATCACCTAGGAAAATATGTAACCAAGTTAATATAACCAAGTTAATCATAGACTAGGAAAATTAAAAAAAGGACTGTGCACTGTTAATAATCATTAATAATTTCTGAAACAATGTAAAAGTAAAATCAATTATGACTGCATGATGCAATGATCAAATAGCACATCTGATGTATAAATAAAGCCCTGCTGAGACCCTCAGGGGGAGATGTCTGCACCCTGATCAAGTATCAGTGTCTCCTCACGACCTCATCTCCCCCTCGCTTCATTCCTCCAGTTTGCCAACACCGTCTCGTCCTTGCGGAAACCCAGCCCTGGTTGGAGCTGGTCTCTGGCAGCCAAGTGCTAGCCAAACTGCCTGGTATCATCACATTCCCTTGTTTTACTTGCTAAAATTGGTTTCCTTCCTCATTTGCTTGAAGGACTATCTCCTAATTCTTCCCACACACCCTCCAGTGGCCATCCAGCACAATGTCTCACACAGTCCAACTCAACCAAGTCACAGGGCCATCACCTCTGCCTCCCACCAGGGGCCTCCTTCCCGGGCCTCTGTTCCCACACTGGGACCCGCTGCCCACTACTTCCTCAGGCTGGTGCATCTTCTCATAGCTTCCTGAGAGAGGGTGCACAGGGCAGCAAATATCTGCAGCCTTCTGGAAATGCCTTCATTCTAATCTCACATTGGTTGATTGACTGGCCTAGCAGAAAATTTTAGATTGCAAGTCATTTTCACCTAGTGTTTTTTTACAGATGTGGCTGTTAAGGTCTTGCCTGGTGTGCTGCTGAGAAGTCTGCTGCCAGTCCTCGCCCCTGTCCTTGCACAGGAGCTGCTTCTGTTTCTAGAAACCAGTATTAAGCGATTTAGTTGTACTTTGCTTTTCTTTCCTCTCTTTTTGTAGTTAGGGAGGAATTTCTAAGACACGCTACCCACAGTTATGGAAATTAACTTACCTGATTCCAAACCCCTCATCTTAGATGTGTCTCTTTCTCCTTTTTCAAAGTAAAATAAATATCCTCTTAAAAAGCCTCTAAGTTCTTCAACAGGAATATCCTCCCATTTTACTAATATGGAATCTGCAGATGTATCCTCAACAGTGAAATTCGGTGCAACAATTGGAGCTATGAAAGGAAAACAGTCACTAGCTGAAGGACAGTTTACTGCTACAGAATGAGATACTGATGTTTAATGAGATTGCCAGTCCCAAAGATAGCTCAACTTGGGATCAAAATTTTCTTTTTTATCACAAACTTTCAGAGATTTTTATCACAAATACTTTTGTGAAGCTTATATGCTAATAACCAGAGACACAAAGACACAACTTTCAGCTTTTAAACAAAATACATATCTACGGAAGTAACCAAAGCAAAATCTTTAAGTGGCTCTTCAAATAGACTTCACTTGTATGTCCCCTCTGATCAGGTGTCCTGATATCTTTAAAAACTTACAAAGGTCCAAGTTAAGTACTGCTGATTTCCAAGTTATGCATTAAACTTTGTTAATGACAACATGAAGTCATGAACTATACACATTAAACAAATGGAGTAGGAATAAGTAATCAAAGCAGTAATTTTACATTTATCATACTAATTATTCTTTGAACTTTCCTTCAACAAAACATCTTCATTCAATCTATTTGTGGAAATGAATCTTGAAGTAGTTATCCATTTATAACTTCTACCTTGAACTCTTAAGAATACTTAAAACCCATTTAACTTACCCAGTTCTTCTATGTAGCCGATGATGGAACGTAATAGTTGATAGCCTTGGTTTCTGCATCCATACAGGAAAAAATTATATCTTATGCCTGGTCGAAACTGATCTATAGGATGGACACAGTAAGTTAAACTTTTGTAAATAAATGTTGCCATGCATATTTATTTTAGAAATACGAAATTTATAACTTATTCTGAAATTTCCAAAGCTAACTTAAGCAAATTTTCTTATTATGAAAATTACACCCATATTTTCAAAACTGGTACAGAACGAGATTGAAAACTGACTGAACAACAATTAGATTCATTTCTATTGGAATAGTTAGTGATCAAGGCTCCTGTTTTGTTCCTTAAAATCAAGCCATGAAGACCTCTTTCCAGATTTGATCTGGGGTCTGTTTACTAACCAATCCAGGGCCACATCATGCCTCTGCAAATCCCTTCCTTAAATAGAGTTATTTCTGGATTGGACAAAACCCACTGCTTTCCCCTTGCTCGACGATGCAGACACAAAATGCTCCACTCTCCTGAGACATCTCCATGTTCATGGACAGAGCCTCACAGTCTGTTCCTCTTTACAGCATCACTGCTCAGTGTCCTTGAAAGTTCTCATCCTACAGGTCCCTGCTTAACCCCAGCTTCCAATATAGTCCATCTGTGGAGCTGTCTTTCCACCTCAAACCCCTACCACTACATCAGACACCATCCATCCCTATTATTCTCACAGCCCCAGGAGAATGGATGAAGAGGGGGTTAGAATTTATAGAACATACACGAGGACCACCGAAGGCACAGGGGGCTCCATGTGGGGGAAATACAAGGGAAGGTGCAGGAAACAGGCAGGCAGCACGTTGGTAGGTGAGGTGGCACAGGGAGGTGCCATGCCCAGCCATTATAAAGTGAAGAACACGCGAAAATAATGGTTGCCCACAGATAGTAATCTAATGAATGGATGTCCTCATTCATCTTTTCAAGTGAAACAAGCAAACAAGTAGAACTTGTACCCTGGGAGATTAGTAATCAGCAGTGGCTCGCTCTTTTGAACTTCAGTAACATGTCAGGGAAGGTCACCAGAAGGGGATGATATCAAGAAGCACAACTACCAAGGGCTGCAAGTTCCAGAATTCCCGTGGGTGGAGATGCGACCCATGTTCATCAGCTGCTCAGAAGGGCAAGGGCCATGGAAGGAAGGTTCTAATTTTCCAGGACAAGGGAGCTTAGACTGTTGGTTACCGAGTTCCCGTAACAAGGGCTGCTCACGACTCGTCAGCAGTCAGGAAGGTGCGGACTCGCCCCCCACTGTACTGTCCATATCACACTGACACCTTCTTGTCTCACAGCAGGAGGGTGCTGAAGGAGTACATGTCCTTCCCAAGTGGTCCCTCCCTAGACTCAGTAATCTGCACCCCAGGCAAACAAAGGCAAAAGAACACGGAGTGAAACCATTACGCTCAGAAGTTACTAGTCTTTTTTTTCCTCCTGAGCATTAAACGTTGCTCAATCTTCCACATTTTTTAATAGTGCATATTCCATTTTACAGATGTACATCATTTATTCATTATCCTATTTGTTATTTGGGTTATTTTCCGTTTCTATGGTTACAAATTTTGCTGTGGTGAACATTCTTAGATGTCAATCTGTGTTGTTCTCTGTTTGTTAGGACAAATTCCTAGACAATTACTGCATCAAAGGATGCCAATTTCCACAGCTAGACCCCACAACCACCTTCCAGAGATATGAAACCAATTCACACCTGCCCCAGAGGTAAGCTGTGCCTGGCTGTACCAAGTGTTGTTCTTTTTTTAAATATATATATTTTTAAGAACTGGGATTGACAGACACCGGTTCATCTTACCAGATTCTATTATAGTTTCACTGCTGTTGGAGGGGACCTTTTTCCAATCCATAAGGCAGGGCTCAGCCCGAGAGGAGTTGCACCATTTAATAACATAGTCGCAAGTCATGTTGGGGTCGTAATTCCAAGTGAGGAGAATCCTCTTTCTTGTTCCAACAGCTTGTTCTATTTTGAGATCATCTTCAACAAGAGAGGAGGGCATTTTACTGGTGTTAAACACAATCCTATAAGGGGCCTCCCCTGGTGGTGCAGTGGTTGAGCACTGGGCTGCGAACCTGCCTGCAGCCTCTAAAGCGCTGGTTCTATCCCCGGCCGCCGGCGAGGGTCCCACATGGTGCGCAGACCTCTCCTGCCATTCCCGCTGCTCCCCTCAGCAGTGTATTTCATCAGTCTGTCTGTTGTGCTCCCCGCTTTGGTTCTGGTGAATCCTCTCATCCTCCCATGCTTCTGACTGTACCCAGTGCTTGTATAAATAAATAAATATATCTTTAAAAAAACAATCCTACAAGGTAAATCTCAGGCAAATGAGCCAAGAGTTATGAAAATTACTTCACTGCCTAGAAACTTCAAAAGTGCTCAAACTAAATCAAGCTTACAGGTGTTGCTCTGTTATTTTGGTTCTAACAACTACAGGCAATCCCTGTCCATATGCAGAAACTCAGCATGCAGTTGAAAAAAGTCAAAAAGCAGCTCCTGGGATCAGGCAGTAGGAAATCAAGCCTGAGACTGTAGGATCAAGGCCGTGGAGAGGGGGTTGTGGGAACAGGGTTGAGAGAAGAGCTCTAGGGGGCTCCTGGCAGGGATGGCACAGAAGAAACCCACTGGAGGATGTGAATGCACAGTTATTAAGGCAGGAAATCCTCACGGAACAATGATTTGCTCTGGAGCGTCAACCTGAAAGCTAACCTTGTAAATTACTATCTTCTCAGAGACACGTGGAAAAGGTAGGAATACAGATCTTTCATTAAAAACAAACAGAGCTGTTGCCTGTCAATATGAGAGCAGTAACACACATAATCTCAGTCGGTACATTATGCTCAGGATTCACACATTCCCTCTCTCTCCTGTTTGCTCTCGGTCCCCCGCACCCTGCCCAGGGCCTCTCCTCCCTGAGGTGTGCGGCATTCTGGGCCCTGGTGGATCCTGAGTCCCTGAGATATGTGGTGCTCCCCGGTCCCTTCCTCCTAATTCCCCTGAGCCAACGGAAGCAGCAAGACCCCACCAGTAAGAAGCAGCAGAAACAACCTCAAGCAGGAGTTGGAAAGTTTCACTTTGAGGATCCTGACTAGGGTCCTCTTCTAGGCGTGGGTGGTCATAAAAATGGGGCAGGACAGCAAAGGGGGGTCAGGGGATGACCCGGAGGGATGTGAGCCCGGACAAGAGACACAGGTGGCTGTTTAAAACTCACAGAGCTGTTATTAAGGCAGCTCAGCAGGAACGGGCTCATCTCTGGTAATCTGGGGAATTTAACAGGAGACACAAAGCAATTTTACAATTATGCCAGGGTTATTTTTTTAAGCTTATATTGAGGATCTAAGTTAGACTTTCAGAAGAATTTCTTAATATAGTATTCCTACCAATAAAGATGTCTTAGCAACACATCTGCCACTTAAAATGAGATTTTTTTCCAGCCTGTCAGGTGGTCAAATAGCCTCGCTGACAGCATCAACCTTGTGGCCTTGGAGAGGCCAGGAAAACAGCGTTTGAATAAATCATTACACTGTTTCTTCCTAAGAGCAACTCTCCATAATTCTCTAGCACTGCAGTGAAAGGTACTGGGCGAGGGAATGATTGTATCGTCAGTGCAGATGCTCTGAGCCACTACGAAGGACCCGTCTCTCATGAGCATCTACGTGAGTCTGTTTGCTCCTGCTCAGATGTCAAGAGCAGCAAGGGGACGGATGAGAAGAAAGCTGGCCTATAAGAGAGCAAGTCCCACCTTTCAACTGTGTCACCCTCACTTCTCATCACCCTCTGAACTCACCGTTAGGAATTTCCATACTGGGTATTTTAGAAGGTGGGGAAGAGCCGGCCGAATTCTTCGCCACCACACTGATGATGTAGTCGTGTTTATCCAGTTGTATCTCTGCCCTGTGCTGGGGGTCTGGGATCTCAGAAAGGGACTGTGTTTCCTCATCCGACGAGTAAGACACATTATAGGAAAGTATTTTTCCATTCGCTTCATTAATGGGCAAAGGCTAGGAAGAGCAGAAAAACACGTTGTGTTATAAAGTGACGAGGTGGCGAGACAAGACCATGAAATCGAACCTGGACTCCACACTACCCATGACTAGGTAACATCAGAGAAGATGAAGCTGTTACCAGTGTGAAACACAGAGGAGACTCCCGAGACCAGGATAAACCAGGAAAGTGATGTGGAAGAAAAACTACACTTGCTATAAGCAGTGCGAGCACACAGTTACTTGAAAATTAAGTAAATTCAAAACAACATTTATCGTCACTTTTTTCAGAAGCGTGTGCCTGCCAAGCAAAATAGTTCATTTGCTATTCGGAGCCATGTCCTCAGGCCCTTTCCCCTGGGGCTCCAGAGCCTTATGTCAAACCACCACCTACTGGCACTCTCCAAGGACACTAGGGGCACAATGTGCCCAAAACAACTTAATTTCCCAGGCAAATATGATCCCCTGTGGCAAGCAGCAGCACCATTAATCTAGTCACTGAAGTCAGCACCTGAATCACTTCAATATTTTTAACTCTGGTTACATAGTCATCTAGTTTGAACAATACATTGAAGTAGTCTGTATTAAGGACAGTCATTACTATACTTTGGGGGCACCTGACAGACGTCTGAGGGCAACCAGGGTTCTTCAGTCCAAGATGAGGGGAGGCAGCAGATGCAGGGGCCCCACAGACCATCATGACACGACACAACTCAGCTCCACAACACCATGATGCAGTTTTGTAAACATAACATTACGTTTTACTTTCAATAACTAGATTCACTATTTAAAGGACTCCCACTATCACTGTTGTTGCAAAATATGATGTAGGGTGCAACAGTTTACTTCTGAAGTGCATAATCAGATAAAAATATAGTAACAAAAATGTTTTCTATGGTAGAGAAAAATATAGACCAGAATGCAATTCACATGTTACCTAAAAATTCTAAAAAACCATGAATAACTGTAATTGGCATATATTATAATTTAATTTATTTATGGGCAACAAATGGCACCTGAAATATATAAAAAGTCGGCTTCCCATTCACAGAGAGAAAAAGTGTAATGTAAACACTTGGGACTAACTTGCAGCTTCTGGCTGTGTTTTTGACTAGAGAGAGAGACATGGATTTCAAAAGCTCCTCAGGTCCTGTAAAGGCTTCATGGAGCTGAAAGAAGAGTGTTCAGATGTGAGATGGGGATCTGCCCTCAGGCAGCCGTGGTGAAGCAGCAGCAATGAGAATCAAGAGGGTCAGGGGTCAGATTAGGTTCTCAGCAGCAAAGCAAAGCAAACCAGTCAGGGAAGCTCTGGGCTCCATGACAGTCAGAGCACCATTATGTGACTCCAGCGATCTAGCACAATAAACTTATTCAAACTTTCAAGGAAAAACGAGAGATTTACCTTCCAATAGATGATTAAATTTTTCCCGTCAGAACTCCACTCTCTCCATGTGTCTGGTCCCTTTGAAGGAACTAGGAAAGAGATTTAAAATTAACATTTGAACATGCACACCATATGTCAGTTGATAATGTGATTTTCCTCCCCAATATTTGGAATTCTCATGAAAACGGGAAGCAGTCTGGTGGCTTCCACTGAGGAAATGAAGCCATGGAACACGGAGTGCTCAATGCCTGCAAAGCGCACAGCCTCTTAGGATGGGTTCAAGTCACCCCCAGGGCCCTGCTGCTTGGTCCCGGGCTGCCTCCTGCCATGCTTCTATCTGCCCGCAGCAAGTGTGTGCTGGCCCTGCACGGGTTTCCCAGCTGCTCCACAAGCATACCTCAGACTTCTGCATTTCTGTGCCTTTTCTTCCTCTGCCAAGAGCTCTCATTCCTTAAATAAATCATGTGGCCTGCTTGCTCACCTCTAAAGCTCAGCTCAAATGGATATATTTTTAAGAGTGAGGTCTTTTCTAGCCACTCTATTTAAATCCCCTCCCCACGACTGCTAGCCCTCATACCTACCTCCCTTAGAGGTCTTCTTTTTCCTCTGTGACACTCATTACTCCCTAAGAAACTGTTATATGTTTTTAAAATATTCATTTCTAAACCTCTATCCTATAACGCCCATTGGCAGATTACAGTTTTCTTCAGTACATATCCCTCGGACTAGAACAATTCCTGACACATGGCAGGGACTCAATAAATATTTGTTAAGTGAATTAATACATTCATCTTAATGAGGTGTAAATAAAATATTGTGGATTCCCCAGCACCCCTCTCCTCGAGCTGTTGTCTTGGTGCCCAGAGGCCTGCTGGTCAAGCTAAAATGTAGAGTCAGGCAGGGGACCTCTCACCAGGACAAACGTTTTGGTATAAGGAACATACTGGAAAACCAATATCTGCTAGAAGCAGCAGAAAGACATAATGGCCCCCATAATTAGCATAACCAGCTTGATTATCCTGACAGAAAGTTAAGTGTAAATAGGAACAAGGGAGAAGATGTTCTGATCAGCGGGAACAATGGAACCTTCCAGGCAACAACCCCTATTCATTCCCCCCAAGCTTCTGCCAGACACTGATACATCTCAAGCCACATCGCCATGATGCACATTCCTCCACACATTCCGCTATGTACTTGCCTACCTCCCATGAACATGATTCTGAATAAATGTGAGACTGCCTCGGAAAAGGCAGTCCCTAAGGTATAACCCCTCTAGGTCTCTCTCTTTACTTGGACTTTGAGTTGTCTTCCCTCTATCCCACGCTGCTCCCTACTCTGCCGCCCTGCAAAGTGACAAAATATTTCTTCTCAATAGCAATAGCTCATTAGCTGAGGGCAAAAGCTTGTAAGGGAGCCAGTCTGCAGACTGACCCACGATCTCACACACCCTGATACCCATGTCCTTGTGTGCGTCTTCCCACACTTTATCAGGGTTGGCCTGTACACCAATAGGGTAAGGCAGATAGGATGGCATGTCCCTTCTGGATCCCGTGGAGTCCACCATGCTCTCTCTCCAATCACTAAGTCTGGGAAAGTCGGCTGCCATGTCACGAGGACACACTGGCAGCCCCAACAAGGAAAGGCCAACTGCTAACAGCTGTGTGAGTGAACCACCTTGAAAGCTGAAGCTCTGGTCCCAATTAGGCTGCAGGCTCACCCACACCCTGACTGTAGACTCAGACCCAAAGTCATTTTGAGACAATTTGTTATACAGCAGTGGATAATGAATGTATTCTCTCTCCCAACTTACACACAGGATTCATTTTTTGATGGTTCAAATAATTCTTACACATATTGCAAGGCACCTCTCATCTCTCTATTCTTCATGTGAAGAGACACAATCTGGATGAACAGCTATCATTTTTTGTTTTATGGTTGGTTGATTTTTGGAAATTTTATATTCCTTATGTAGTGCAAATAAACCTTTTTAAAAATCTTTTGAATAAGTCTTGAAAATTACACCTAATTCCTACATTTTTGGTTTTTTTAAGTTGACATGTTTTTAATCAAAAACATGTCTCTCATTATGTCTCTGGCAATTATCATACTTAGGAAAACAGTTACCAGATTTCATGACTTTTTTGACCTAGGTACACTATAGAAACTGAAGTTCAAGACCTTTTTGCCTGATCCATTTCTGAGGTCTAGTTTGCAAATATAAATCTCAACAAAATCTCTATGTTAGAAACTGTTTCCTTTAAGGCAATCTAAAGAGATTATTAAAATTCCAGGAGGAGGAAAATGTGAGAAAAATCATCCCATAATCTTCCCATGGTTCCAATTTTAGTTTCCTATACATCATTTTAATATAGTTAGAATCATACTATAGATTAGGCAGCTTAGTCCTTTCATGTATGAGCCAAGCATTTCTCCATATTATCACGAAACTTTAAGTGGCTTTATATTTTTCTGGCAGATATCCTACCATTACACAATTTACCTGAGTATTTCCCTACTCTGAGATGCTTCAATGATATTTTCTTTTAAAAAAGTGTGAACAATTTATAGTAATAATTAGCTATAAATCATTTAGTTGACTTACTGGCTTCTGTGGTTAAATACCGCTTTTCATTGCTCCATTTGCTCCATTTCCAGAAAGTGTCAGAGGAACAACGAATCCGAAAAGTATATAGAGTATATGGTTTTAACTTGTCCACAGCAACGAGGTAACTTGAATTTTCTACTCCTCTGATTGTGAAATTCCGCTATTAGAAAATAAATATGTATATACATGTATAGACACAGTGCTGTGTACACATACTTATATATTTCCACACACACTTTTTAAAATAAAAACGCCCCCTTAATTTGTAATATAAATTGACTGTCCATCAGTTTGCCTCTATATGACCAGAGACAGTTCCTCCACTAAACCTTGAAGCTTAAAAATATTATTCAGGTATTTTCTAGAAATTTCTTGGAGGCAGGAATCCTCTTATGTGTCTTTTTTATATGGCACTTAGACCCTCTAGTATGTACTAAAAATGTAGAACATTCAACTAATACTTATTTAAACTAAGTTAAATTAAAATAAAGCAATTTTAAACAAATTAGAGGATTTACATGCCTCAAGAAAGTCTCTGACCTCCTAATTACATACACTGGAGTTTTGGGATTACATGTGGCATTTGACTAACTTTCTAGAAATCAACAGTAAATTTTCAAATGAATATTTAAGTACAGTATCATTCATTTTGGACTTAATACACATTATGAGATGATGCAGTATAAAAGTCAACCTAAATATTTCAAGTGTATTAGAAAGTCATGTTCTGCCTTATAATGGCCAATTATCAGTTGCTCCCGTGGCTGCACTTAGCAGTTTTAAAAGTCACATATTCCTTCTGGTGCTGACTAGTCCATTAGCCAGTGCTAAAGGTTATAGCAAAAACTACTGATTCATTCGTAAATTTATTGAACATCAGCTATGCACCAGCTACTGTACTAGACCTGGAAACATTCTGAATAGTAAAAGTCAAACTTACATATAGTGTCTACTATTATGACTGTTTATGTGTGAAATATAATGTTACTATATTGAGGTATAATGTCCTGGTGCTTGTAAATTTCTATAATAAATAATCCGAGCACTTACATCTATCAATTTCTTTCTTTTTGAAAACTGTTTATCCAAAACAACATCAACAAAATTTACAGAGGAATCTTACCAATTCTTGTACTGAATTAGCTTTAATAATTTCAACTTGACATAAAAGTTTAATCTTTGCAAAGTTGCCTGGTAGACGCCAGTTAAGGGTGACAGCTGTTGAATTAATATCCTTCACTTTGATTGAAGTAGGAGTACGGGGATGAACTGTAAATGTAATTTTTAAAGATTAATTACTTTAAAAGCTGTTTTCTAATATGACAATTAGGAAACAAGCAAAGCTAAATTAAGAGAGTTACCATTAGTGCTGATTAATAACATTCCATAGTTTGGGATACAAAAGCCTTATTTCTACTACTGACACCAGAAGAACAACAAACATTTTCTACAAACCAGAGTCTCTCAATTGGAGCCAGATTTACTAAAGATCATGGTCTCTACCTTTATGAAACTCCTGCTTTATTTGGGGAATGACAAACAAACAAGAAAGACAATTACAAAATCAAAAACTATTAAAGTCACAGTTTCTATGTAAGTATAAGTATAGACAGTAACTGGTACGGGCATTTAAATATAAGCGTGGTAGGAAAAGTCTTAAAGTGAACATGGGATTAAGATGAGCTTTGAAGGAAGAATCATACTTAAACTGGCAAAATGTATGCTGAAAAGCATTTCAGGTCAGAGAACAGCAAGAACAGAGGTATGATGAGGCAAACTGCACATGACAGAGGTAACAGTACATGTGGCCATTTGAGCTGTGGGAAAGAATCAACTGGGAAAAAAAGGTTGACATGGCAGAGGGCAGATAAATACATACAAACACTAGTACAGAATACATTTTGGCCTTAGGAAAAATCAGCACTAAGGTGCTGGGGAGGGTGTGTTTGCTTAAAGAGGAGCGCGAAGTTCCTTTGGGGCCATGGAACAAACTTGTCCGTGCTGGTGGGTCTGTGAATCTATAGATGGATCTGGTTGCATAAAAACACACAGGTGTGCATGCGCACACACATACATACCGCACACGTGTACATACTGCACACACACACACAAGCCAATTAAAAACTGAATAAAAGGAAACAGGAACAGTAGTCTAGGCCAGTGGTCCACTCCTGGTGGTGTGCTGCTGCCGGCAGCCTGGTGTGGATGGTGCACTACCATCAAGTCAAAGGGTCACAAGACTCTAATTTAATATTTTTGCAACCCCCTGTGAGTCTATAACTATTTCAAAATAAAAAGGTTTTTTAAATTAGGTAAAAAATTGTCAGAAATCAAAAACTATTAAAGTCACAGTTTCTATGTAAGTGACACTTTTTTTTTCTGAATTCACTAAAATGGTGAAATAAAAATTATACACTATTTTAAAATAAAATCACAAAATTAATATTAAGTAACTATAAAGATAATCAGTAAAAAGTAATATCTAGGGCCTCCCTGGTGGCACAAGAGGTTAAACACCACACTATGAAGCAATCCACAGCCTCTACAGCACAAGTTCGATCCCCAGCCGGCCAGGGAGCTACCCACATGGCGCAGCAGACCTCTCCTGACTTGCCCGCTGCTCCCCTCAGCAGTGCATTTCAGTACGACTGCCTGTTCTGTTCCCCGCTCTGTCTCTAGAGAATCCTCTCACCCCCCTGCATCTCTGGCCTGTACCCTAGCCCCTTTATGCATAAATAAATAAATCTTAAAAAAAAAAGTAATATCTAGATGTACTTTTCACTCATCGCAAGACATTTCACCACCTCTCAAGTTGTCTTTACGACACTGGTTTATGGAGTAGCTTACCTTTTTCAGTTATGTTAACTAAAATTGTTGATTTTGATTGGCCCAGAGGATTGCGAGCGTTCAGAGTAAAATTATACATTTCTTGATCTGGAAGCATTTGAAAGAATAACTGATAGCTTTCATTTGTGGGCATTTCAGCTCTTTGATATCTAACATGTTTTTCTGAAAAACTGAATTAGAACAACAAAGAATATTAAAATAATTTCAAAATGCCAAGAGATAAAGGGTATATAAAAAAAAATGAATGAAAAAGTTTCCAATAACCTTTTTTAAAAGTTCACATTTCCTATTACAGACTACTACATACCAAGGAAAGAATATGTATACAATATAGAAAATAGAAGCAAATCACTGCGCTCTGAAACGGTCTCAGTTCATAGCTGAGTGTTCATCCTTACAGGTTATTTAAAAAAAAAGAATCAAGAAATCAAGTCCGTGTGCATTCACATTACATATTTATGGTATACATAATTCTATACCCCTTGTTTGGTTTTAAGGTGGTTCATAATACAAATGAGATTGAGCATTTCCACATGTCATTTAGCATCCACTCCAGAGACCTTTACCTTTCAAATAAAGTGTAGCTGGTATTTCGAGGGCCCACCAGTGCCGTTGATCTCCCTGCATTCCAGGTACATATAACCTCTTTTAAATCATATGTCTCACAGTTTAGTTTTTGAGGAATATCAGGTGGATCTAATAGGAAAAGAAAACAAAATGTAGTTACTTATGGTTACATGTTTTCCTTGAAAAATTTGTTTCATAAATGTTAATTATATTTTGTACCATTTCCTTCAAAAATGAAGGTTTACTGTACATTTTACTTTTTGAACTATGTAGGAATTACCACTCTTTCTGTAGCATGTAATTTGGAGCTCATATTACATTAGAAATGATGGATTAACATATAAGTGAATTTCATTTGGAAACTGGCTCCAGCAGACACCTGAACACATCAATAGAACTAAGATTGACATTTATTTTGAAAGTTGTTTTAAATCTAAGGTCAAACTTAATCATTTTATTAAAGTCAAATACCAAAATTTTGAGTATTTTTAAAATGTTGACTATCAGATATAGTATGTTGTATGCTTAACTATACTTCAAATAACAGGAACTGAAGATAAAGATTGAAGGAGAAAAGTTAAGAGGGCCGTATTTGAAATTTACTAATTTTCTTTTCAAAGAAATTAGTTTACAAAAGAATTAACCAAAGTGATGTAAAAGCTAGGTGTAAACCAATTTTTTTTCAATATAGCAGCAAATACAAAAATGCAAATTATAAAAAAAGTTATTTTTAGTAGCACCAAAACACCACCAAAAACCTAAGAATAAATTTATCAAAGATATGTAAGACCTCATGTCATGAGGATAAATCAAAGAAGATTTAAATAAATGGAGGGATATATACCACATTCTTGGCTAGAAGACTCAGTATTGTTGGAATGAAAATTGATCACCTAGATTGATCACCTAAATTGACAAGATTTAATGTAATCCAAATTAAAATCCTGTCAGGTTATGATAGTGTGTGTATGTGTGTAAGGGGAAACTGACAAGCTGATTCTAAAATTCTCTCTGGTCTTTTCAAGAAATGGTGGCCTAATAGGCTATCCACAAAGGAAAGAAAATAAATGAAGCTCAATCCCTAACTCATAACATAACCTATCTTTATTGTAATAAGCTTTTAAAGAGCTCCCTTTGAAAAGTTACTGCTGCTCTTGATAAATACTGAACAATTTTTCAACCTCTGAATGTTGTAAGTGAAAGTGAAATTGAGTTCATTCAGTTTTGTTCTAATATTATGATAGTAGAGTCGATCACTATTGGAACTAATAAACTCAGTGAACATTCTCATCTCTTAAGCTGTATTTTTTTCTTTCATTCTTGTAAGTGGAGAGCTCACTTTCTGGTATCGCTTATCAAACTGCTTCACTACAAATACCACCGTGTTCTCAATTTAGTCTATGTGATCACTTGTGAGGAATGTTGTAGGTTTTATTTCTTAAAATTCCATGAGAAAAGAAAATTTACTTTTCATATATTGTCAAATTTAAATATGAGTATAGCCTCACTCTCCCTTGAATTCCAAAATGTTATACTGGGAAGGCATAAAGGGAAGGCCACAGTTCTCAGCTGAGAAATGCACCTAATCCTGGCTATTCCCTGGAAAGCACATGAGCGATGGAATGCACTTCATCAGCAGTAGTAAAGAAGTGGCTGAGAGCAGGCAGTCCAGAGCACAGCTGAGAACCATAAAAAAGCACAAGGAAAAGCACTAAGTAAGAGTAAATCACAAAACACTTCATTCACGAGACCCTGAGACCAAACTCAGGGCCGGTAGTTTGGAATGTGGGGAAGCAAATCTCTCAGCAACCCACCACGTTACAGACACAGGGGAAGAGACAAAGATGCGAACACAAAATCATTTGTAGACAGTCAACAGAAGCTACATAGGTAGAGCAGTCCATCACAACAACTTTTAGAAATATCATGAAATTTTAGGAGCAAAGGCGTGATTACAGTAATGAAGATGCTCCTGCACTGAGAGCATCAATGTAATGGACACATCAAGAGGAGGTGATGCTCTCAAAAAGGTCACTGTAAAGGCTGGAGAAGTATATACATGTTCCTGAAAGGCTTTAGGCAAAATCATTTAAACTTCTTTAATTCAGATCCTTAAAAAAGGTATGCCTTTAGTAGTTGAGAAAATAATTTATAGGAGGTAATTCCTAAATGATGCAGGATTAAGAAATATTATACACTACCCTTGTTTCAACAAAGCTGTTAGCTAAGAATTTGAACTAAAAATTAGCAGCTCGATGCGCTAAATCTTTTTAAGAAACCTACAATTTCTATAGAGGTATGCAGAAAACACAGCTAGATCATCTTAAAACAAGCAAAACTTACGGCACTTTCATATATAATTTATATTAAAGAATTTATAAAGTAAGGAAGAAACAGAAGCTCCCCCCCTCCTCAATAAAGCTAAGGTGTTCAAAGAAAACAAATTAATAGGAACTCTTTAAGAATTGGATATGGGTGCCTACTTGGTGGATGGGGTGTGATGACACACATCTGATAAGGTGTGAAGCTGTTCCCCTAAATTATATACAATGTTGTAAATCAATACTGGCTTAGAAATGAATTAATGAATAAGTAAATATTATATACTTACATCCTGCAAAAACAACTGTTCCAAACATGTTGTCATCTGTTGTGAAAACCACATTTGTTCCACTATGTGCAGAAACAGAAATATTATGGATCTTGATTGCAACATTCTCCCCATCAAGATGAATAAGGGGACAATTTGTTTGGCCAATCTGTGCTGACAACACCTTTTCTTGAGTCACACAACAAAATGTTATATCCGAGCCTACAGGTATCACTTTGTCTTGAGGAAAAACCTTAGTCTGAGAATCAGAGGACCCTAGAAAGAGCAAAAGGGAGTCATAAATACTTTAGAAGCCTTTTACCATAAATAGCCCAAAGTATACAAAACACACACTGTTAGGTGCTTTGTCATAGTGGTGGCCCATTACAGGGTATGTCTCCCAGGTTTCAAAGGAGAAGACATACCACATAACAAATAAAAAGGTGGGTGCTTTATTTACGGATGATGGGATGATGGTCAGGGAACAGAGGGAAAATCACAGGCCAATATCTAAGATTACAGGTTAAGGTCTAAGAAGTTCAAAGGTTCAAATTAGATTGGTTTATATTCATATGGGAAAAAGTCACACAAAAAAATCACTCATTAAGTATTCCCTATCTTTTAATTGATTCTACACATTTAGGGAAACTCTACCTCACTTGGCCTAATATATATTTAAGTAATGCAGATCTTAAAGAGCACTTTTTCTTTATCACTAATCTCTGCAGGTTAAAGGCACACCTTTTTTGACCTCCTAAATAGCCTGTCATTTTTTTATTGCCTCGAGTCTCCTTTCTACTGTTTACTGCTATCGGGCTACTAGCCCTACCAGTCTACAAAAAATGACTCTCTGGACTAACTGCTCCGGCCACTTTTCAGTGACCCTTCTCACTGATTTCCACAGGCTGAAGTCTTCCTTCTCAAAACTCACTTCTCTCCTGGGTTCCAACTCCTATAATTTCTTAGTTCTTGGATGTCATTTCTTTTCATAACATACAGTGTCAATAATACTCAATACATAGAGTTAGCGCCAACTACTCATTAGGATGCCAAATCTGTATTTCTTACTGCCTATTAGGCATTGCTACCCAGACACTTCATAAATACCTCAAGTTCAACATATTAAAAATGAAATTTATCTTTCCCACATAATTTGTTCATATTTTTTCTGTCTTTAGTGGATGGCATTGGCAACTACCCAGCTTCTCAAACTGAACTTTGGCTTAAATTCTCCCACACCAAACACAGTCACTAATTCTAATTTTGTCTCATTGGTGTTTTCATACCTTCCGCCCCTTTTCATTTATAAACCCAACTTCATTGGCTTTTGCCCAACTTCAACAAGATTCTCTTTATTTATCAACCTGCTTCCAGTCCTTCCTTTTTTTCTGATTCATTTCTCCATATTGTCACTGGAGTTGATTAACTACAATGATTGCCAGCCTTTCTGAGGACTTCATTTAATTGTTAACAATGTTCCAAGGCCTCTCTCACACTGCCAACATTCTAGCAGCACATGAGTTTTATTAAAAGTCCAAGTGATTTTTGGTATCTGTGCAGATTCCCAGGCTCTCAGCAACAACTCTACCATCCACAGGGGTCTGCTCTGTGGGTAAGAACTGGAATCCATTTTGCAAAAATATAGACCTCACTCATTACCACCTCCGTACAACTTTTAAATGCTCTTCAGTGCCTACCAACTATAGTGGTTTTCAAACCTGCATGTTTACTCAATCACTCAGGAAGTTCTTTAAATATCCAGATTCCTGAGGCCTGACAGACTCCTTGAGTTAAAATCCTCTGGGATGGGGAACCTGAGAAGATCACCAGGTAAGCTTCACACACTCATGTTTTGGAATTCAGAGAACTGCAAGCTTGAGCTAAACATCATTGAATTTAATTGATAAGATTAATTAAAGCAAGATTAAACTAGTTCACTTGAGACAAAAATTAACTTTGAGTAAGCACTCACAGGAAATGTTCTTCAGTGGACTCCAGTTACTCCACTGTTTCCGACCAGAGAAATGATGATCGTCAATGTAGCATTTAATCCCCACGTAGTGAATGGCGCACTCCAAAGGCATGTCGGAGGTCCAGCTCCAATGGTGAATTGTATCTTTTCCTGTCAGAGTTGTGTTGTGGGTCATCTAAAAATTGAATAGAAACAAAAAATTTTATTTCCAAGTAGTGATATGTTTTGCTTTCTTTTAGGATTAAAAAACACAAGCGACCACACACAATCACCAGCTAAATAAGCTAAAGGTTTGCTTTTTCGTACAACTACCTCACAGCTTTCAATAAGGCGCAACAGGAGCGTAACAGTAGCACTAATCATGATATGTTTATGTTTACTTTCTTCAGCTTTAGGCTCCACTTCATTACTACACAAGATGTTGATACTCTGTAAGAGTCAATGCAGTTTTGAAGAAAATATGCCATTGCTTATATCATTTCCATTTTCATGGAGAAAAAAGGATTAATAGTTTGTACCTCTAAAGCATTCAAATAAGAGGGAGGGTTGTCATCTCAACAAAATTAATTATTGCTTTGAACTGTTTTTTTTAATATAACTATTACATAAACTTTAAATTTTACCTTTAAATATGCAAATTATTATTGTATAACATATTTATCTAAATTATGAGAAATGGACGTTGAATTTCAATAAAATGTTATGTATTTGCTAAAGAGACCTTGAGACTTATGGTTTAAGACAACAGCTTAAATAAATGTATCTCCTTCTCTCTTACCTCCTGAAATCCCTCTAAAACAAGATTATAGATGGACAAGGACAAAAAAACAGGAGAAGAAACAATAATAGTAAAATTTTAGAAGCTACACTTTCAAACTGAAAGAGACCCTTTGACTGTCTAGTAGAAGAGATGAAGATAAATTCACATAAAGAAACAAATAGGATAATGCCTTCAAAATGTGAGAAAGTTTCCCAGCCAAGAGTTCTATATCCAGTCAATCCATCAATCATGATTGCGTACAGAATAAAGACATTTTAGGAAATGTTGTGTCTCAATATATTTGCAAGAAGCATTTTATATTCTCACTAGCAGTATATGAAAGCTCCCAATGTTCTGCATTTTCTCAACAACTTCAAATGACAATCTTTTTAATGTTATAAGTTATTTTAATTTTTTAAATAAAATCTATCTATAAGCTAACTACTATAGATAGGAGAGTTTCTACAATAAATAACAAATGACTAATAGAATATCTGCTTCCAACAAAACAAGGAACTAAAAGGAAGGCAGGGATTTGAGGAAAAACAGGATTGTTACAAGAAACATGTGAACAGAATACTGTTCAATAAGGGAGAACCCCTTGAACCATAGCTTCCTGACAAATGTGCCAAAAGATACTAAGATTTTCTTAAACTAGTTATAGGAATACTTAGGTTTTAATCTCTTGAAATCTAGGAGGTAGATGGTAAGAGTTGAAGATGCTGGAATTCCTGAGACACCACTGGCCCAAGAATCCTCAGCTATTTACCACATTCTATGCTACCCAAATGTTGTCAGTATCCACAAGAGGCCTTATGTACAGGGGTTGGGAAGTTGGTCAGAAAAGACTCCTCAAAGAGACTTAGTCACAGAGATAAAAGACCTATTATGTTTAAACATTCTGGCAGGAGATTTACACTACCTGGAGAGACTTCAGGAGTTAATAAATAAAGCAGACAAATCAAACTAAAAAACAAAAAAAAAGACAGAAGAAAAATAAGATTGGGATATACTACATGGTTCAGTGGTGGACAGAGTTTCTGATAATTATGACAAGAACAGCAAATACAAGTAGACCAAAAATTAGAATGACACAGGTAAGAGAGGAAATGTGTGCATGTGTGTGTTGGAAACAATTGCCTGGGTTCCAGACCTGGTTCTACCATTTAAAGTCTTCCTGTGACTCTGTATCTTTATCTGTAAAATTGGGGGAGAAAGCTGCCTCCCTCATGAGGCCTGTTGCTTTGACAGTGCAAAGAATTAACTGGGGAGCTTTACAACATCATCAGGAATGCTGCAGCCTCCATCTATGCCAACACGACAGCTGTGACTGCTTTCGGAATGTAAGATGTGAATTGACAAAAAAAAGATAAGACGGCAGCTATGAACTACAGAATAATTCTGTTTATTATATTTACTATCTTATCTTGAACCTACGCAAATAAATTGTAAAACCATGAGATAGCCTTCTAATTCTTAAATCTATAAGCATATCTCAAATCCACTAAGGGGAAAAGAGTAAAAGTCATAAAGAGTAATTACCACATACTAACTGTTTAAACTTTTTATTACTACCTCTCATTAACCCTTAGGACAAAAAGCTAACCAAAGTTAGAACATGAGGAAACCATTCATAAGCAGGATTAAAAAATGAGAGGGAAAAAATTATGTAATAAATATAAAAGCATTTTTTCAGATGTAGACAAACTGAAACTCACAGATTTCTCAGCAATCATTATGGCTAAATGTGTTTTAAGACATTTATTTTTATGTTTATAATAAGTCAAAGATAAAAATAATAAACTAAATATAAAAGTGTATATATGTATACCTTTATTTCATATATGTAGAAGCGTATGTATAAAAAAATTACTATGTGAGTGGTAATATGACTTCCCTAAACTTCCTATAATGGTTACATGTTGTTTTAGTAATTAAGTGACTTTTGAGTCACAGCATACAGTTTTTAATGAACTTTGAAAGGTTGTCTGATCTATTTCCTTAATAACTCAAAGATTCACTGATGCTACCTTAAAAGTTTTTCTTTACAAAAGTTACTCAGTTTCTTTTATGTTACAGAACAAAAATCTGCTTTTGTTGAAACTTACTAGTTCAATGATTTCCATTTTTTCTTTTTGTAGAATTTTAATTTCCCAGATGACATTTGAGTGGTGTGGATAAACAGAACCTTTGTCATTCCACTTTACGTGTAACGTAGAAGTTGAGAAATCAGCAGACAAATTCAAGATCTCTGGAGTATCTGGAATTAAGTCTTCAAAAAACAAAAACAGAAGATAACACTTAGTAAAATTAGTAATAATTTTTCATATTGTGATTCCATTAATTACCTGATTTTAAATCCCATTCCTTCGTGATCAAAAAAAAATTAAGTATTAAAAGCAAACGCTGAAACCTGTTACTGAATAAAGAGAATATAAGTATTTATTTGTATAAGTAGCTCCCAGTGATTCATCAGAAAATTTGAGAAAAGTACTTATCAGCTGGTTGTTTCAAATCCATAATAGATCTTCTAAGACAAATAGCAACTGTAGTATCAGGTGATCTAGGTCCTACAAGCTGGCAATATCAGAGTGAAATAAGTTTCCACTCTTAAGCTATGTCTAAGAAGACAACAGTTATGGAGACTTTGCTTTGACTGAGTTTTCTGTATTTTTCTTTTTTTTTTTTTAAAGATTTATTTATTTTTATGCAAGAACTGGGGTACAGGTCAGATGTGGGGGAGGGTGAGAGGATTCACCAGAGACAGAGCAGGGAACAGAACAGGCAGACTAATGAAACACAATGCTGAGGAGAGCAGTGGGCAAGACAGAAGAGGTCCACTTCACCATGTGGGACACTTGCCGGCTGGCCAGGATCGAACCCATGCTGCAGAGGCTGCGGACAGCTTCACAGTGCAGCGCTCAACCGCCTGCGCCACCAGGAAGGCCCTTCTGTATTTTTCTATAGCCTTTCCTTTTACCTCCCATGTTAGACGCCCTTCATGCTCAGAGATGTCACCCACTTGAGGGGGTGATGAGGTACTATCAGATATTCGTATCAGTATCAGCAGCAGGACCAGAACAGTGCCTAAGGCATTGAGCAAGGAAGTCAGCGGGTTAAGTGCTGCAGTGGTGGGCACAGGGGCTGCCAGGCATGAAGGCAAGAGATAAGGTGATCAAGTGGGAGGGTTCTATGGAAAAACTGGCCAGAGTAGTATAGATACAAATCATGACTTTGCACATAGAAAACAAAGGACAAAATCAGACATGAAGGATTAGCATAATGAGAGAGATTAAATGTAAGATGTCCTTATGTTTCTAGCCCATAAAGCATCAGAAAAAGGCAAAAAGGAATGAGACCACTGTAAAGAGAAGCAGAAGCCTGGCTCTGGGTGACCAGGGGCCACAGGGAGGAGAGTCTGTCAGCGGAGGCACCTGCAGAGGGCTAGTGAGGACAGGCCAAGTCAGACCCATGGATACGGATTCCAGGGGATCTTACTGAGTGTACCTGGAGAAACAAATGCGAACTCACAGACATAAAACAGCCAGAGCCTGTCCCCATAGACAGTCAACATTTCAAGGAACCAAAGACCCCAGCAAGAATCCTGTGAGAGAATGACACAGAGACTTTCCACTGCAGAACATCCAGGATCACTGAAAGCAAAAGAAATGGGTTGCTAACTCAGCCAAAAAGAGCTCCTGGAGCGAGACAGAAAAGACAACAGGCGTTGGTGGGAGGACTGTCAGCATCAAAGTCTGAGGGGGCAGTGGGCCTGAAGCTGCACTGCAAACACAGTGAAGAAAAAAACCAAGCTCAAGGATATGGGCCTCTAATAGGAGAAACTGGCACACTGAAATGAGCAGCAGACAGAGTAAGGCACCCATCAAAATCTTCAAGCCAACCCCCTACAAGAGATGAGTAATTTAAGGAAAATTTTTAATGAACCAAATCCTCTCCTCAAATGACACCCCAGGGACAACCAGGTGAAGGCAAGTCACAAGAAATCCAGAGACATGCTTTCTCAGGCGCATGTCAAACCTAATGCTTCCCCATGAAGCTCAAGGTCATGCAACAAGGTCAGGGTGAGCACAAATTGCAGGAGTGCCGTGTTGCTGACGTGCTAAATAACAGTGGCAGAAAAAAAATAAACAGAAATGGCAGAACAAATGCAAGATAAATCAGTATTGGAACTTAAAATAAGGACTTGTAAATTTAACTGAAATTTGCTGACCGTGGTGCTGTACACTGGATTTTGGTAAAATGCTCAGAGCTGTAAAGAAACTGCACATGTGGATTTAATGTCTAAAGTAAAAGTCAACAATTACAGAGTTGTATGAGGACAGTGGTGGGCGCTTTATAGGCTAAGCTTTAAGCGAGATAGTGCTTTTTTAAAAAAAGAAAAAGCACAGAGCAACAAAGAGCAAGAAGTTGATTTAATGTCAGGAATGGGAAAGCCGAAGGTGACTGTGACCACACAGAGCAGAGGCTTCCAAGAAGGTGGTTTCTCTTTCAAATGTTTCAAGATGTCACAATGTAACTTAAAATTATGAAACGTGGACTACTTTTACTGAGGCAACACTCATTTATTAAAATGCTTGCCTCCCTGCAAAGTCTACATAATTTACATTTTATCTAAACAGTAGTGGGCTGCTCTTCAAAACACAAGCCACAGCCAATATTTCAGGTTGAAGACAGGAGTAACCACAGTCACAAATGAAAGGATTAAACTCTCGTCTCCTCCCCCTTTCTTTTAACTTCACAGCACACATGGGAAGTTTTTCCTAAGTGCCCATGAACTGCCAGCTGCATTTTTTCCTAGCTAAAAGAGATACTTGAGTCCAAGGTTAACTTACTTTCTAGAAAATAGGAACTTCTCAGGAAAGAAATGCTATCAAAGTCTTGTTTATTTTTTTAAATCAGTCCCTCAACCCATCACCACCATACTTTCTGCTTAACAACATCTGAAGATGGGAGTTATTGCAGCTCCTTCCTAGGATCCCTACTGTTCTGTACTTTACCCTATCAGCGAGATCCACTTTTTCAGGTTATTTTAAGAAATTGAAGACATTAAAATATTTGCATACCACACAGCTGACAAGAGGATAATCTCCAAAATTTACAAAATTTTTACACAATTCAAGGACAACAAAAAACAAAACAGCCCACTCAAATCCTGGAACCAAACTAAATGCCCTTCAACGGACAAATGGATAGAGAAATGGTGGGATACATACTCAATGGAGTATTATACAGTGGTGAAAAAGATGAAATAGTGGCATTTGCAGCAAAACAGATGGACTTCAAGCTGATTGTTAAATGAAATAACTCAAGAAGTGAAAGACAGGGTTCTGTTGGTTACACTCATCTGTGGAATATAAATAACCAAACAACATACACAGGTAAAATATAGTAGGAATAGATCTTAAACTCAGTGAAAGAATATAATGACTATTAGAAAGAACAAAGGGGGAGGGGAGGGAGGGAGGGAGGCAGGGGACACTGGCGTGGATGGTTAGGTGGAAGGAGTGGGACATGCACACATGGAAGAACAAAAATGTAAACCCCCCCCCAAATCAAAGTAAAAATTAAGAAAAAAAATTGAAAACCTGTGGTATAAAAAAATACCATCATATTTGAATGCTAAACTTGGGAAATTATTTGTAGCAAATATGACAGAATTACTAGCCACAAGATAGAGAAGTCTGTGAAATGATCAGGAAAAGACTTTTTTTACACGAGAGAAAATTTACAAGGATACTTACATTCTAGAAAAGAACACAGACAACTGATAATTTTGAAAATTAATCACAGAAATGTAAAAACAAAAGTGTTAAAATTTGGAGGTCATCAGACTGAAATGGCAAACGAAGACAGGCAGATAACACCGAGTCCTGGCAAGCACACGGAAGAACAGGCACTCTCCACTGTGATGTTTATGGGAAGATAAAAGGATTCAAAATGTGAGGAGGACAACTGGTGGTGGATATCAGAAGTGATAAAAGGGGGAATATAATGGATGAAGCATTTCCGATTCTTAGAATTTAGCTTAAGCTGAACAGCACGCATATTCAGAAATACGTGCAAAAGATGTTCATCAGAGCACTGGTTAAAATATTGAAAAACTGGAAATAAAATCCTTAAGGTTAGTAAGCAACCCCTAAGGTAATTATGGCACCTCCATTCAGTGGAATATTCTGCAGCCTGTAACAATGATATTAGATTTATTTAGATAACTGTAAAATCTGTCTTCTACCCAACAGGTTATAAAGTAACATGAGTCTTGTTGTTCATATATATATGCACAGAAAATATATTTGAGAGTTAACAGTATTTCTCTGTGGGTATTTGGATCATGCTTATCAGAACAAAACATCCTCAAGGGATCTCCATAAACTAAGAAGGAAAATAACAAGCATGGCTGTTCCCTTTATCTTCAAAGATGGCCCTAACTAGTAACTCACTGAACAACACTTTGACCAGAAAATGGGACAGATTTTAAGTTCCTACTTTCAAAATGTTCTATCTCAGACACAGACCACTCCAAACAGGTGTCCTGTCCATGAAATGGGACAGATGACCAAAGTAATTATATTCTCTTTCCTTTGCTTCAAAGTGATTCATTCCTATAAAGGTCATTATATTATCATTATGATACCACCCTAGATAGCTAGGAGCCAACACACTTGCACCCCACCATAAAAGACTCAAGACTACCAAGCGTTTAGGATTTTGCTGCATAACAAAATTGCATCTCTATCAACCTGGATTTGTCTCCTGCTTCCTCTCAACTTATAGCACATCTGTTGGGCTCTCAATCAGCACATGTTTAGAAGATGCCCACTGTGTGCCAGACATGGGCTGGGTGCTTGTGTAGAAGACAAAGTTCCTGACTCTTGGAGACCTATCTTCTTGAGGAGGACACAGTAAGCAGTGTAACCCATCAATGTACACAGTAAATTATAAATACAATTGTGAGAAATACAGATTGCCTAAAGGAGTGTTAAGAACAGAACAGTCTTTCTGGGAGAGGGTGGTCAAAGACTACTTCTCCTCCCAAGAGCAGGTGGCATCTGAGAAATTCTGAGGGGCTCAGGAATCCACATGGCAAAGGGGTGAAGAGAAGAGCACCCAACCGCCGAAAGGATCTTGACCCCTGTGACATCTACTGGGACAGACTGGAAGACAAGCTTGCTCCCTTCTTAACCTTGGCTGTGCTCTACAACACACAGTGTGGTTGCTGGGCAAATGAAAGAATTACTGTAACAACAGACTCAAAAGAATGTAAGATTCTGCCAACTTTAGAGCACCACAATACTAACAAAGACACTCTTCTGAGTTACTTTAAAATTAATTTTCCTTATGAATACTTACAGACGTTTTTTTCACTTAAGAGGAATTTACTCATCAAACTTCCAAAGCCATGTGAAGAGTTTATCATTATTTCATGGTCACCAGGTGGAAGAGGTGGGATTTTGATATTTGCTTTCTGTGACTGATAACAAGAACGCGGTCTGCAATATAAGAAATTGAACTTTAATTAGTAGATAAAATTGATAGTGCCATTTTCAAAAAAACTGATTAATAGACAATTCAGTGGAAAACACTTTATTTTTTTAATGTACTTCTTTTTTTTTTTTAAAGATTTATTTATTTATTTATACAAGCACTGAGTACAGTCAGAAGTGCGGAAGGGTAAGAGAACTCACTAGAGCCAGAGTGGGGAACAGAACAGGCAGACTGATGAAATACACTGCTGAGGGGAGCAGTGGGCACAGCAGGAGATGTCTGCGCACCATGTGGAACCCTCACTGGCGGCCGGGGATTGAACCGGCGCTGCAGAGGCTGTGGGCAGCTTTGTAGCCCAGCGCTCAACCGCTGCACCACTGGGGAGGCCCAGAAAACACTTTAGGTTCTTCTACGTGCACGCACACACACACAAAATGACTGATGGATTACATTGAATTTTAAGACTGAAAAAAAGTTCATCAATGTAATGGAAGAAAATGAACCAGACTGTACTAGAAAGTGGTACTAGAAAGCAGCACCTAGCATGCCCTATGAATTCCCATCCAATCTCTGCAGCCTTCCCTCCTCTGTCCCCTGAACGGCCTGCATCTGTAGGTCACACAAGCCCTCTGTCCTTTAAGCTGAGATGGCCTTCTGAGGAAAGAAAGGACCTTGGCTACTTGTCCATGTGTCTGCCCCCTTGAACACGCCCTCCACTTGTCCACCCCCTGCCCTGGCTCAGAGTTCCTGTGAGCCAAGCTTCCTCATCTGCACTGCTTTCAGCAGCGTCCAGCTCCCCCGCCCATTCTCTCCTAGACAAAAGTGATTTTTCCTCTGTGGCTCCAGGGCCTTTTGTGTCTCTACAAAGCATGCTGGCATTCTTTATTATTATTCCTATACATTTCTAACTTCCCATGAAAAGATTAATTCAAGCAAAGGACTCTGGTGCCTTCTGTTTCCCTGTCCCTGTCCAGCACCTGCACAGGCCTCTCAGGTTATTCACATGGGGTGCAGACTCAGACAGGTGGGGTCCTATGGGGGGCCTCTTTAATGCCACAAAGTGGCCTGAATTCTCTACCATGTGCTATTTCAAAGGTGCAGCCATTGGACCTGTTCAACTGGATGTCCTTCTGCCCACTTTCTGCTGCGAAAACTGAGTATTCCTACTCCACATCCACATGTCCTCTGGCAGCTGCTCTGGACCTGACACTTCTGTCAATCCTGCTTGGACCTTCTCAGCACTGCACCCACTGCACTGTTGGGATTTGTACCCTGAGAACTCCCTGGGGTCAAAACTCCCTTCTCTCTGTGTGGTCCCAGGATTCATTAGTGAGTGTCATTTACCAAATATTCAGGTTCTTCTCATTTGACCTCCCAGTGATGACATGACACCTCCCTGAATCTTGACGTAAAGGTGTTGTGACTTTATCAGCAGAGGATTCTGAGTGAAAGTCACATTCATCACTTCGAGCAGGAAGCTGTGAAAGCAGGCGCAGGCTGTGCTGGCCTCTCCCCACTGCTCCCACCGCCACGTGCCCTGCCGCGCCCCAGGCTGGGGGCCCCTCAGTCTGGGGTCCGAAGGGAGAGGTGTCAGTTAACTCAGCACTGGCTGAGAACACAAGCAGAAAATAAGGAACTAAGATTTGGCGGCTGTCTCTGCAACACAACCAAACTCACCCTGGCTCCTAAATGGCCTGGTGCTTATGACAACACTCAGTAAATGTACACAGTGAGGGAAGATCTGAGAGAATTCAAACACACATGTGTGTCAATGTCCAGACCACTCGACAGCAGGCTGGGACTTGGACCTCCCTGTTGAATCTCTTGGTGTTTCCAACAACTTATCACCTGGCTGTGGTTAGGGACAGGTAAGGGGAATGTCCCAGCTTCAGGCAGGCTAGAGGCCTCAAATCCCGGCTCGGGAGCATCCGGCCAGTCCCGAATGAAGGATGTGACAGAAACTGCTGCTTCCCTCCTAATGTACATTTCCCATTTTGCTCAACAACAAGCCAACATTTATCTGGGTATGTGGTGGCACACACGGCCACCCAGCTAGGAGGATGTGGGGCCAGCCTCTGGCAACTCGGTCTGGCCATTTTACTACGTTCTGGTCAATGAGACAAAAACAGGGGTGCTGTGTGGGACTTCTCAGAAGTCTTCTTTACAAAAACCTTTGTCTTCCTACTTTCCAAAATTCACACACAACAGTCCCCAAGCATTCTCTTCGAAAAGCAGACCCAGCTGAACACAGCTGAGTAGGCACTAAAGAGAAACCTGGGTCTCTCGCGGTCATCAATAGCCATTGTAGCCTGTAACTGACATTTTACACAGGAGTAAGTGCCTGTTTGTTAAGGCATTCATACAGACACTTTCTGCTAGCACAGTCAGAATTTAAACTTAACTGCATACTCAGACATTGGTTTGAGACAGACCAGCCACACAGCACATTACTTCTTGACTATTCATATAATAAAAGAATCAAAGTTTTGGCGGAGAAGGGTTTGTTTCATCTTGAATGATTGATGTGATTCACAGTTTTTAGGAAACAGAGAGTAAATACTTACAGAATAAAATCTTTATGCTCTAAAATTAAAGATAAGGAACTTTTTATCTTTCTGTGGTAGCTGATGAAGTATTTCCATTACCTGTTTTCAATGCAAACTTCGTAGAAAGCACCACGGCCTGCTCCAAAGGATGCTTTCCAAGAACAGTCCCACACTTGCAAATTGTGAGTTATACACTTTAAATCACGAGGAGTCCCTGAAGAAGGAGAAAGAACACACAGGCACACAACATGCTTATTTTAACTACTGTAAGCAAGTTTAAAAAATCAGTTTTCAGTCATAAGTACAAGCATGTGTCTGCAAAGGGCTGGTGGTCTTAGTGCAGAGAGGAAGACATAAACATTCACCAAGGCAGGACACTGGCTTTCTATTTCATGGTGGAGCCTTAAAAAAGTCTAGTGAATAAACTGATGAAAAGGGGGCAACCACTAGACCCTTTAGGGGTTAGGCTTCTATCCTTCTGACCCAGGATTCCATCAAAAATTCCACCTCCGGACAATTAAGAGAAAAAGAGGGAGTGACTGTGTGTGTTAGATTCAGGGATGAAGCCAGGAAAGTGCCTGGGAGAATTTTATTTTTTTAAGATTTATTTTTACTTATTTATTCATACAAGAACCGGGTCTAGGCTAGACGTGCAGGGGTGAGAGGACTCACCAGAGACAGAGTGGGAAGCAGAACAGGTGGATCTACTGAAATACACTGCAGAGGGGAGCAGCGGGCAAGACAGGAGAGGTCTGCTGTGCCATGTGGGTGAGCTCCCTGGCTGGGGATTGAACTCAGGCCACAGTGGCTGGCCATAAAGTCAAGCCTGGGAGTATTTCAATCTCCACTAGTCCCTTTGTAAAAAACATGTAACCCGGTAACAACCACGGTGTCCAGGCTCACAACACAACTTCTCAACACTCCTCGTCACACCTGCTTCATGTACTGGGCCACCATCTACACAGAAATCTCAACACCAACCTTTAGATTTTTACAGAACATTTTAAGTTTATATAGTAATAAGTTTACACGAGTTTCTGAAAAATATAGATATTATATGGGCCTAAGCAATCGTAAAGTAACAAATAGTTCAGATGATTTCAATCTAATAGTATTTACTCAAATGCATAAATTAATGCCACAACAGGGAAGACTTAAGTACTGTGCAATGGAAAAATGTAACTCTGAAAGGCAAATGGAGAGAAGATGGTGGGGGGGGGGGTGGAGGGGGAAGAACAAAAAAAAGAAGGAAGAGGGAAGCAGGAGAAAAATTATTCAGTTTAAAAAGGTATCCACAGGACCTCCCTGGTGCACAAGGGGTTAAGACGCAGCCTATGATGCTGTCCGCAGCCACTGCAGCATGAGTTCCATCCCCAGCCAGGGAGCTACCCACATGGCACAGCAGACCTCTCCTGAGTCACCCACTGCTTCCCTCAGCAGTGTATTTGAGTAGATCTGCCTGTTCTGCTCCCCACTCTGTCTTTGGTGAATCCTTTCACCCCCACCCCACACCTCTGGCCTGTACCCCAGTTCTTGTATGCATAAATAATTTTTTAAATAAAATTATAAACAATAATAAGGTATTCCACCTCAAACTCTCTATATAAATGTGTATAAAAAAGCTTTTTTCCCTCTAGTGTTCACATTTGGTTGGAGTAACATTCACTACAGCAAGGAATTATAAAACTATTTATGTAAGATGGAAAACAAAACCACTAGAAGCACTCATATGAGAAATCACTCGCAATCAAAATAAAATTATTTAAAAGCGATCTTGGCGAAAAAAGAAGTTTAGCTTAGCAAAACTAAACTATGGCAGAGGGATAATAACATTCTTTATAGAAACAAGCTAGGTAATAGCTACAAAACATTCTGACATTTAAATAAGATGAAAACAACATAGTATTAAAGAAAGATACTCAGATTTCATTGGATGACATTCTGAAAGGCAACATCATAGAGACAGAAGACAGCTAAGTGTTGGCTGGAGGCAGGAATGGGAGGGGCTCAGTACTGGAGCTTGGGGACCCTTCTGGGGGGCGGGACTGCTCTGTACCTTGACTGCGCTAGTGGCTACAAGGCTGCATGCGCTTGTCAAGACTCACAAGACTTCACCCCAAGAGGGTGAATTTTACTGTTTGTAAATTATACCTTTAGCTCCTTAAATGGGTAAAGAATATTTAGATCTATCTTGAAGAGTCTTTGTAAAAGAAATCAAAAGTACACAGAAAAAGGATAACAAAGATTGTAGGCACTTAAAAACCTGAGGAATTCAATAAAGACACAAAATCACTTCAAAATCAAAACGATAACGACACCGTGATCGGTTCCTTCTCTGTGGCTCTGATGCACTTACCCTTTTTCTGGCTATTTACTTGCTTCATTAAATACAGCAGTATGAATGCTGACAGGAGCCACCAGAAATTCGAAGCCATCCTCATCCTTGTACCGCTCACCATCCGGGATTGTCGTCTCAAACACAAGGAGATGTCCATGGTCAGTCCTAGGTGAGGAGAAGAATTTCAAATGGGGCCTCCCCGGTGGCGCAGCGGTTGAGCGCTGGGTTGCGAAGCTGCCCGCGGCCTCTGCGGCGCCGGTTCGATCCCCGGCTGCTCCCCGGCCACCGGCGGAGAATCCCACATGGCGCGCAGACCTCTCCTGCCGCCCGCTGCTCCCCTCAGCAGTGTACTTCGGTCCTTCTGCCTGCTCTGCTCCCCGCTCTGGCTCTGGTGAATTCTCTCACCCTCCCGCGCTTCTGACTGTACCCAGTGCATGTATAAACAAAACAAACAAACAAAATAAATAAATAAATAAACATGCCTCTATAAAAAAAAAAAAAAAAAAAAGATTTAAAAAAAAAAAGAATTTCAAATGGTGCTCAAGTTACCCAAACACATGCCTCACTGTCCAAACCAATGTGGAAACGGAAGCTGGCGACAATGAAACACACCGCCCACTGGTGACTGCACGCGCCATGAGTTGCCAGGCTTCAGAAGACAGGAGCAGTCAGATGCTGCTGCTGCTTCAGGGGCCCATTTCAAGGGTTGATTTTCAAAGGATAGGCTGCTCCAAGTTCAATATTATACATTTATCAACTCTCAAATACCACTAGAATATAAAAACTCAGTGCATAAAACTGAATTTTGGGCAATTTTAAGTGATACCTGAAATGACTTATTTTAATCAGTATGTATGGACATTCACAGTCACTTATTTCTGACAAGTAAATGTCACAAATGGTTTTCTTATGCATTTACACTGTGGTATAAAGTTTCTATTGCATATAAATTCAGACAGCATAAAGAGAGAAAAAATCAGGGTAAAAACCAGTTCGAGGGTTGGTGGATGTGATAAGAACACTGGCAAAACACAGCTATCTAAAATTTAACAAACACTATAACGACGACAGTGGGGAAGGGATCATTGGCAGACAAAAGGTTGTAACACGTTTCTGCTGCAAAGGAAAGCATGTACCAGCAGCAGCAAACTGGGGGCAGGAGGGAGTCTGCAACAGGGAAGGCCTGCTGCATCCTAGGAGCGCCCTGGAACAGTCCTCACCCAGGCAACACTGAGAGCAAAGCCTCTGCCCTCAAGAAGCCCAGCCTCTCGCTGGGAGAGGCACACGCACATAAACAAACAAGAAACTTAAGACCCTGATGTGCACTTTAGAAGCTAGAATAAGTCAATTTGCGTGGGAGTGTGTGAGTGCAGGAGAGCTGTTACTTGAGCTAAACCTGACTGATGAGACCAGGTGAAAGACAGCAAGACCAAGGGCAAATGCCATGCACAAGGACCAGCTTGCCAGGAAGAGGGCTGGAAGGATCACACGGGGCTTCGTGCCATTGAAAGGATTTGGAGTTTAATGGGTTGAGATTAGAAGTTGCTGAAATGTTTTAATCATGATCCAATTTGCAATTTTAGGAAGATTTCTCTAGCTACTCCATGAAGGAGGACTGGGTGTGGGGGGGGGGGTAGATACCACATCCCAAACTAGAATATCAGTGGCAAGGATGGAGTTTTCCAAGTGAAAACTTGGAAAACATGACTTGGCGGTCATGTGATGGCCCTGTTCAGAGATGGGGGGGTCTCACCAGTGCATTACACGCAGAGAAGTCCTTGGTTAAATGCAAAGACTGGCTCTGAATCCCAGCTCTGCCACTTACCGTGTGACCTGAACTCTCTGGGATTCAGTTTCCTCACTTGTGAAGGGGATAACAATTGTATTTTCCTCTCAAGTTTATTGTGAAGATTAAATGTATAAATAGATGCCACACACTTAGAATGGTGCCAAGTGCAAGGAAGAGCTGTGCATGTATGTATCTATGTGTTGTGTGAGGTGCAGGCAGAAAAGCAGCAGGGTGGTGACTACACTGGGGGAACCCAGCCAGGGATGGACGATGGTACCACTGCAACCCTCTCTGCGAGCAGGAAGAAGACGCAGTGCTCTGTGGGCCTGAAATTAAAAGATTCAAAGACAGAGGTCAACCTAGATACGCTTCTGCTCCAAGTAGAGATATCTCCCTGAGGATCATAAAAGAATTGCCGAGGATACCAGAACAGCTGACACAGCCCAGCGCCAAAGCAGAAAGTGTCCTCTGCTGCGTTGAGGGATTCCACGGTCATGCTGCTCCGTCCACTCTTGCCAAATGGAAACAATCGGCTGACCAGTCGTTGCAATGTGCACGTTTACCTTTTACTGCAGTTCATTTTATCACCCTTGGCAGAGAAAGCGCTTCTTATACACTGAAGCTGTGTGGCAACCTAGAGCTGAGCAAGTCTCCAGAGCATGTGCTCGGTGACACACTCAACTAAGGTGTGTACACTGTTTTTATTTAGACACAATGTCGCTGCACACTTAACAGGCTAAGGTGTAGTAGCATAAACACAGCGTTCACATTCACTGGGAGACACAAGACTCTTGGGATTTGCTGTACTGTGACCTCTTTTCAGGGTGGCGGTCTGGGCCCGACCTGCACCAGGTCCACGGTGCCTGTGCTGAAAACACCTTGTCGGACCTAAGACTGCCTCGCTTTTAAACTAATCGCTTTAAATTAAAACAGACCAAGAATAATAAAATATTTAAGAGAAGTCTAAACTGTAAAAGAGAAATTCAGGGGAAACAGGATCACTGAAAGGGAAATTAAAAAAAAAATTACTCCCAGAGGAAAGAGTAATAATGGGGGAAAAGGAAAAGGAAAAAATAAAAACAAGCACAAACCACCTATAAATAGTATTCTCAGAGCAAACACAGCACTGCCATGCAACAAGAGGAGGCTGCAAAGAAAAATAATCAGAAATAAAACAGCTCTTATAAGTTAAATACATTAGCTGACATTAAAATTTTTAAAAGAGAGATGAGGTATTTCAGAAAAAGAAAACAAAAGACAATCAACGCGAGGTGTGAGAAGCGGGGACTTGACAAAAGACAGGGGCCCAACAAAAGCAGGTCAGTGAAAGCAAACAGCAAGGCCTCTTCCTGGCCACTGTAGAGCAGTGTTGAAAACCGGGAAAGCAATCCGAGCAGCTAAACAATCACAACCAAAACACACAGGAGGCATGAGCACCCATTTCACAAGTGTCCAGTTATTTCTTGGATAAGCAATTCCCTAGTCCATCCCAGTGTTCTAAGACAGGAAATGCGGTCCTGGAATGTTTAACATGGCAGCTCTAATATTACAGAATTATACAGCATTAGAGAAATAATTGAATAAAGGAGACCCAGCAGGGCCAAACCATGACTAAAGTAATATAAACCGTATCCACTGACTGATTACACACTATCCTGAAATGAGACAGCCCCTCACTACAAGTTTACAGTTGCTGGAGGAAAGACAAGAGTGTTCCATGAAGTGGCACGTGGGGGAAGCAGGCAGGGAGGCGCTCTGGATCAGGTGGAGTGGATTCGGACTCTCAGTCTGGCTCCATTAGTAACAGGACTGAGGGCAAAGCACTTAATCCCTCGGCCTCAGCCTCCACCACTGCAGCACCGCGCAAATACTACAGGGCCCACAGGACAAACATCTCGAGTCAGGTGGCAATATTCTGGTCCTGTTGCCACGATGGCTCACCAGCACTAGGTCAGCCCCAGCACCAGCCCTAGTTCAGGGGTGGCACTGAGGTCAGCAGCAACAGGGTGGAGGTGCAGCGGGGTGCTCTGGAGCCATCAAAGGAAGTGTCTGCATCGCCTGCCAAACTGGAAATAGGAAGGGTGATACAGAAGACATTCACGCTGGAAATTTGAAGCAAGTCATTAAGGCCATATGATATTGTGCCTGCAACACATGTGCCTTCTTTACCAAGCGAAACTTTCAAATGGGCTCACTTGAGAGCCAGAACGCTACACCAACAGAGCCCTCCGGCACACTTTCAGGAAGAAAAAGAAACTTGTCTCTGTTCCCTTCTGATAGAATCATTGTCAGAATTTGTTTTTCTCTACCTGTGTCTTGTTCCTTAGAGGAGAACACATTTTTTACAGAACTTGAGGGCACTGATTTTCAAAATTAGGAAGGCTGTCCTGGCAGCAACAGAATGCAAACATAAATGCAAATGCCCAGAGGGGTCAGCAGGTAACAGTCTCCAGAGAGGTGCAAACCAGAACTCACCTGGTGAGTCCGCAGAGGGAAGCAATGGGGTTTGGTTTGCCAGATTTTATGATTTTTCAAGACACGTTAGATATCTGGGATTTTATATGTAACACTCAAGTGTGTAAATATAAACACCTAATTCATTTTTTTTTTTTTTTAAATATCCAAAGGCCAAAGGAAACACTCCTGGCTGTATCCTTCCTGGGGTCACTGCTGTGTACGCTTATATCATCCCTAAAGGACACAAAAATGTCTTAAACACACCCTTGTGTAAGAAAACTGATAATACAGAATCAATTTATGAAACTATTGAAAACAAAGGAAAAAAAATCTGGTTTCTGCTTGTCTGTTTTCATATCAGTTAGGATGCCAAGGAGCCGGCCACAAGAGCAGAGCGGCCACGAGCAGAGCCCCTCAAGTTCAACAAGAGGAACACAGCAATGGCTGGAGCTTTGGGGCACTCTTGTGGAAGTGGGGCATCTGCACATGGACTCTGGCTTGCTTCCTCCTCAGTTTTGAGAATTCTGGGTCCAGTCAACTGTGATCTGGACCTTTCTGCTGAGGATAATTAGAGAAGAATGGAGAAAATTAGAGTTTGAAGGCTGGGGAGGTGACCTACTGCTGTGTTTTGTTTACTGTGATTCTGTTTTTTGCCTTGTTGGAGGGTGGAGGGGGAGACAGGCGGAGGCATTCTGCAGGCAGCTCTCTACCCTAGTGCATGCAGGCTACCCCGACCCCCTGGGAAGGAGCTGAGAGATGCCTGCTCCATCCAGGAAAAGCAAGAGGACTGAAGCATCGTTTACTTCGAGACTTTTATCTTTGTGTCGCTATGGTGAAGTAGCTCCCTTGTCATTAATACACAGAAGGAACTGAAACACTGGAGCGAGAAAAGCCACTTGACTGCAGAGAGGCAAAATAA